TTGCTCCCTCCTCCCTGGCTTCCCCTAACATATTTATACATGGCCATCATGTCTCCTTTCAGCCTTCTCTTCTGAAGGCTAAACATGCCCAGCTCTTTAAGCCACTCCTCATAGGGATTGTTCTCCAGGCCCTTGATCATTTCAGTTGCCCTCTTCTGGACACGTTCCAGCTTGTCAACATCTCCCTTCAATTATTACTCTGCCGTTATAATAACTTTAGTAAACATTACAGTGTGGCCAATCTCAAATAATGACATTTCCAGGAGATTATTACAGAGCTACAGAAAAAAACAAACAATATGGCTAAGGAGTTGAAAGCTTAAAATGTTGGGGGTTTTTTAGCTTAGGAAAAAATGATGTATAATTATACACAGTCTAGGCCAATGTTTCTGAAGATATTTGATGTGGTGGACAGGCAATTATTGCTCTTCCGTGTATGTTCATTAGTTACAATTGTCCGTTAATTGTATGTTTATTTCTTTTGGTCAATGGACCACCATTTTGAGTTGCTGGTCTGGACAAAGTGGATAGGAAAAGTTCTTTCTGTCTGTCATTACTTGATTCCAGGCTCATAAAATACAGCAAAATAGTGAATGGTTTAAGATGTTTAATTGAATGGTGGAATTCAGTCCCACAAGATGTCAGGAAGGCCACCAGCGTGGACAGCTTTAAAGGGGGATTAGATACATTCATAGAGATTAAGGGTGTCAATGGCTGCTAGTCATGATATTATCTATTAGCTCCACTATAGGAAACAGTATGTCTTTCAGCATCAGTTGGTGGGAATATATGTAAGAGGGTCCTGCTGGGGTCATGTCCTATGGCTGGATTCCCATAGGCATCTGGCCGGTCACTAAAGTAATATCAGATAGGCATTGGATCTGGCCCAAGACGGCTCTTACAACTTCTAAGATGTTTATTTATTGGAATGTATTGTTGGAAGACAATTTACTATTGTCTTTAAAAATAATGACAAATTCCCTACACTGATTCTAACAAGTTAATACAGGCATGGGCTAACTATGGTTCTCCAAGAGTTTTCAACTTAAACTCCCACAATTCCTAACAGCCAGCTAGCTGTTAGGAATTGTGGGAGGTGGATTCCAAAACACCTGGATGGCCGAAGTTTGCCTATGCCTGGGTTAATAGACATTATGAAGTATTGTATTGGTTCTGCCCCGGAGTGTGGTGGAGACTCCTTCTTTGGAGGCTTTTAAATAGAGGCTGGATGGCCATCTGTCAGGGGTGCTTTGAATGCAATATTCCTGCTTCTTGGCAGGGGGTTGGACTGGATGGCCCATGAGGTCTCTTCCATTCCATGTATATAGATTTGTTTCACTGTATTTTATGAACATGTAAATTGAAAATACAAAAACATATTAATCCGTAAAAATAAAGACAAAAGAGAACTTTCCCCAAAGGAAAGGAGTGACAAAATTTTAATATAACCAAGTGAAAATAAAGCAAATAAGGGTGCATCTTCACTGTAGCACTAATGCAGTTTGATATCACTTTCACTGTCATGCTTTGAGAGTTGTCATATGATGAAACACCAGAACTCCTTGGCCAAAAGATCTTGTAAAACTATGACTCCCAAGATTCCATAGCATGAATTCTACACTGTAGATCAGGCATGGGAAAAATTTGGCCCTCCAGGTGTTTTGGGCTTTAATTCCAACAATTCCTAACAGCCTACCAGCTGTTAGGAATTGTGGGAGTTGGAAGTCCAAAACACCTGGAGGGCCAAAGTTTGCCCATGCCTGCTGTAGATGCACTCTTAGGCTGAATCTACACTGTCGTATAATGGAGTTTTGGAATTGCATTATATGCCATTGCAGTTTAACTGCACTGATATACATTATATGGATCTATACTGACCATATAATGCAGTTCCAAACCACATTATATGCCAGTGTAGATTCAGCTCTAGAAAACTTTCTCTACTTAACCATATTTAAATTTTTGTCAGTCCATTTCCCAACCACTATCTTTTGAGACATCTTTCCACAGCTGTTATAACATTTTTTTTAAAAAAAGCTGGGTTTAAAGCTGTTTTTTTACCCTGTACTAACAAAACAAAAACAAAAAAATCCCATGCCTATACAAACTATCTGAGTATTCTGTTAAGTTCAACCAAATGTACTTCCAAATAAACATATAGTGCAGAATAGTGAGTGCTTGGAGCCCCCAGTAGCACAGTAGGTTAAACTGCTGAGCTGCTGAACTTGCTGACTGAGGGTTAGCCCCAGCTTCTGCCAACCTAGCCGTTCGAAAACATGCAAATGTTAGATCAATAGGTACTGCTTCAGCGAGAAGGTAATTGTGTTGCATGAAGTCATTCTAGCCACATGACATAGGAGACATCTATGGACAACACTGGCTCTTCAATTTATTTATTTACTATATTTATATACCGTCCCTCTTAGCCCGCAGGCGACTCGGGCCGGTTCACTGTAGGTTCCAAGACCATAAAATACAATTTAAAACATTACAATAATATAAAACCATAGCAAAACCAATAACAAACATATATCATGAGCGTTTCCTTGCTGAAAACATTGACCAATCACATTGTCTAATCGTTCCATTTTCCTATGGAGAAATGGAGATGAGCACCACCCCTTAGAGTTCGACACTGCTAGACTTTCTGTCAAGGGGAAACCTTTACATTTAGTAAGGTGCTTCTCTATTTAGGTGCCCCCCCCCCCCAGGAGTTGTTACCTAGCTTGCCTTCAACTGAAGTTCTCAATTCACCCAGCTGTTGCAAGAACTGCATGTAGGGCCTACAAAGTGGTTCCCAACCTGCGGTCCGTAGACCATCAGTGATCTGAAATAACTAAAATATGGTCCACGGCCTCACCGTTACTACACCGTTGCAACGAGAACAACTGGTCTCATGAAACTCTCTTATAGGGCCAAGGCTTATTAAATATGGTTTTCTGTGGGTGAGCAGATGGCGACTACTGGATGGCATATATTCTGTATCAGAAACTAGAGCTGATGTGGTCTATCCAATGCAATTTTCTGAATCAGTACCCCAAATATCCAAACCGAATCTAAAATTGACCAAAAAACTGATTCATAACCCTTTTGGTACTGTTGGAGAGTGGTCCCTGGTCAAGTGGTCCCTGGTTAAAGTTGTCCCTAGCCAAGTGGACAAAAAATGGTTGGGAACCACTTGCCTATCTGGGGACCTACAGCTAGTAAGCACTTTTCAATCTCTATAACTTTTGTTAAGTGAAGTTAGAACACAAGCAAAAAGACCAGCTTTTTTTTTTTTTGTGGGGTGGAGAAAGTCATCATAGGTAGAATATTTGACATACAGCCAATTAATACATTACATAGAGTTCTGTATAACATTCTTCCCATCTTTTTCTTTCAGGTAAAGTATCTGCTGGAGGTTGTGATTAGAAACCCAGTAAATGTGGAAAATCGTATTACCATTACAGAATGTTTTGCATATGCATAAAGTTTAATTGCCAAAAAGGTTTTTTCCACTTTCAAAGGAAAACACCCTAATAGCTGTACATTTTCTTCTCTAAGAGAAAAAGCAGCAAGGGGCAATGATAAATTAAGATTTTCTCTCTTGTCTTAGTTCTCATTCCTATCTTCAACAGCTGCTTTTCTTTATGAAGAAAAACCTATTGAGAGAGAATGTGTGGAATGTAATCTGACCCAGTGACTCCACATTCAGATAAAAGGCTAATTTCCTTGAACTTCTTGTTTAAGGACCAAACTGCAGTAACATTAACATTTCGTAAATCTATCTTGTATATACTGCATGGAACTGTGAGAGATGTCATTAGAATGTGGTCCATCTTCTGCTTGGGAGATCTATCCACAGAAACCAGGTAGACCAGTGTTTCTCAACCTTCCTAATGCCACGACCCCTTAATACAGTTTCTCATGTTGTGGAACCATACCCCACCCCAACCATAAAATTATTTTCGTTGCTACTTCATAATTGTAGTTTTGTTACTGTTATGAATCGTAATGTAAATATCTGATATGCAGGATGTATTTTCATTCACTGGACCAAACTTGGCACAAATACCCAATATACCCACATTTGAATATTGGTGGGGTTGGGGGGGGGATTGATTTTGTAATTTGTGAGTTGTAGTTGCTGGGATTTATAGTTCACCTACAATCAAAGAGCATTCTGAACTCCACCAACAATGGAATTGAACCAAACGTGGAACACAGAACTCTCATGACCAATAAAAAATACTGGATGGGTTTGGTGGGCATTGACCTTAAGTTTTGGAGTTGTAGTTTACCTATATACAGAGAGCACTGTGGACTCAAACAATGTTGGATCTGGTCCAAACTTGACACAGATACTCAATATGTCCAAATGTGAACACTTGTGGAGTTTAGGGAAAATGACCTTGACATTTGGGAGTTGTAGTTGCTGGGATTTATAGTTTACCTACAATCAAAGAGCATTCTGAACCCCACCAACGATAGAATTGGCCAAACTTCCCACACAGAACCCCTGTGACCAAAAGGAAATACCAATGGTCTTTGGCGACCACTCTGACACCCCCTCTTGACCCTCCAGGGGTCCCAACCCCCAAGTTGAGAAACACTGAGGTAGACCCATATCTATCAAATTCACAAACATAATTAATTAAAAACATTTATATTCCACCCTTCTGACTCTCCAGGGGACTCAGGATGGAGCACAACATATATATGGCAAACATTCAATGCCGGGACATAAAACCATAAATATATACAAACATTAAAATCACTTATATCCAGTTTAGTTTAGTTTAACAATCAAATTTCAAACAGGAGAGGAAATGGAGCAAAATCAAAATTTTGTAGCAAGTCAAACAACGTTTAGAGAAAACATATATATTTCTGTCAGATCCTAAAAGACCTGATCTATTTTTACAGTTGAATAATAAAAGATACTGTCAGACATCATTACATTATGATGAATAAAGAGAAAATAAACAGAGGCAAAAAAAGATTGAAAAGGACACAACAAACCCATTTATATTATTTCACATTTATTTTATGTTAAAAGTATACATAGTAGTGTAAACAATCAAGAAATGACTGTACCCTGATATACTTTCTACTTTCTTGGACATAACCAGCTGTGCCTTTAATACTGTCTTCCTTTACTGATCTAAATATATGCTTGAAGTGAACATAAATTGTGGAATACATTCAAACATTGCTATTGATTACAAGTAGGAAAATTAGAGATGCTGTATATATGCAAGTTTTGGATAAAGCTGGAATAGCTCACGCCAATGTTAGCAAAACTTTACAGTGTTTTACAAGCATTCCTAGACATCTAATCTCCCTATTAGCTACATTTTTGTATATGGTTGTACCTGACAATTCTCAGAAAAAAACATTTTAAAAATACACATTCTTTTTTCTCCCAAAGAGTATAAAATGCTTTACCTGATTAGGCTTATCCAAAATAGTTCTTTGGATCTTGAACATTGAATGTAAAGCTTACATTCATGCGTGAAAGGATCCTTCCTTACCTCATACACATGCACCTGAATGTAATTTCAATGTCAATAGGAAAAGCAAATATTGGTACTTCAAATTGCTTATATAGTCTGAACACTTTCTCCTTACTTGCCCAGCAACATAAGGTTGTTGGAATATTCTTTTGTATTGTGAAACTGACTCAAAAAGTACCATAGTCATAATTCAAAGAAATAGTCATGCTAGTCTGCATTAGGATACAAAGGGATCTTGTGGCACCTTCGAGATCTACTACAAGATTTAGACCCAGTCTGTTTCATCAGGCAGATGCCACGGTTTATCACTTAGTTTCAAAAGTGCTAGAAAATCCATTTGTATCTAAAAGTACAGAATATCCTCACATAATCTAGAGTGGTTTTTCATTGGTAACATATTTACATATAATCTACCTTGTAGCATATCTTATTATGTTGGAAATAGCAACCTTCTTCAAGCCTCCACTAGTTATTTGTTATGTATATAATTCAGGTTGCTTACCGTATTGTATATGTGTGCACTGGTATGCAATTTTCTCTAACTCTATGTTGTGGGAGGGACTGTAGACCATGTGATCAGATCTGGGACTGTTCAGATCTCAGACTCTATTTTAGAAACTGTATGCTTTTAGAAGTCAGTAGAAAAAGAATGCTTTAGATGACAGACTCTAATAGACGCCCAGAAAAGAGAGATACTTAGGACTTCTAGGTTGGATATCGACCATATAATTGCACTATTGTACCTAGACATGCTGAGAGAAGAGTTATCTCGGATTTTAAAAAAGTGTATATTTTGTCAAAGGCTTTCATGGCTGGAATCACTGGGTTGCTGTGAGTTTTTCGAGCTGTATGGAATCAGCAAGTCAAATATACCCAGCAACAGGTCTAACATTTGAGGCACTCAATAGGTCACTGTTGTAATTATATAGTAACCATTGTCACTATATAAATACTACATCAATCTCAACTAACTACAGATTGAAATCAATGACAAAGCCAGTCGAGGGAAACTCAACAAGAAACATAACTATGTCTAACTGAGTGTCCATTTGTTACGAGCAACTAGAGTTTTTAGACTCTAGTCTATCAGAAGTGAGGCATAGCAATTTGAGAGTTGGGAGTAGGACTCCAGTGACCAGGCTTCAAATCTCCACTGAGCTATTAGCAAGTCACACCTTCTCAGCCCAAAATGAAAATAATGGTAAACCACTTCTGAATTAATCATAAACTAATACTGACTTGAAGATGGTTAACAAGAATAATGGATGGAAGCAGTAACAACACTTCAATCCCGCAGGATCGCACCCATTAACAGACAATTATTTTTTTTACTGGAAGCAAGTTCTATAAACAGCAGTTGGTGTTGTTGAAGGCTTTCATGGCTGGAATCACTGGGTTGCTGTAGGTTTTCTGGGCTGTATGGCCACGTACCAGAAGCATTCTCTCCTAACATTTCACCCACATCTATGGCAGGAATCCTCAGAGGTTGTGAGGCCTGTTGGAAACTAGGTAAGTGGGGCTTATATTTATCTGTGGAATATCCAGGGTGGGAGAAAGAACTCTTGTCTGTTTGAGGCAAGTGTGAATGTTGCAATTGATCACCTTGATTAGCACTGAATAGCCTTGCAGCTTCAAAGCCTGGGTGCTTCCTGCCTGGGGGAATTCTTTGTTGGGAGGTGTTAAGTGGCCTTGATTGTTTCATGTCAGGAATTCCCCTGTTGTTTGAGTATTGCTCTTTATTTATTGTCCTGATTTTAGAGTTTTTTTAAAAAAAATTGGTAGACTGATTTTGTTCATTTTCATGGTTTCCTCCTTTCTGTTGAAATTGTCCACATGCTTGTGGTTTTCAATAGCTTCTCTGTATCGTCTGACATAATAATTGTTAATGTTACAGCTATTAACACAAACCATTGGGGAAAACAGGCACCTTTCATTTGGAACTGTGGTTATTTCTCAGAAAGATGCTCATTTATTGCTTAATTATAACCATAGAATATAGCAGTAGATGGGAAATACCAGTCCCTTACAAAGCAACAAATCTGGCATTACTCACAACATTCCATTATCTCTGCTTTGGGTAATTAGTTAAACCGCTACCACATTTAGGAGTGCCTTGATTTTTTTCTTGATAATTTATTTCTTCTTGATTTTTATTTAATGTAGTTTTTAAAACTGAAAAGCGATAATTATCTTATTCTATCAAAGACTTTAGATCAGGAACATTTTTTATCTCAAAGTCCAGCAGCATCTGCCCAAATGCCTTGCCCTGTAAAAAATGAAATAAAATAAATTACAAATGGCTAGTTTTATGTGACAAAAGTAATCACACATTCAGATAAAAGAAAAAGCATCCTCTTCATTATATTGCAATGTTTTTGGGAAGAAAAAGTGATTTTTGCCTTCATAACGCTGTGTACTGTGATACCAAGACTTAAGAGTTTAATTTGTTCCGTGGCCGAGTTCTTAACTCAAAATGCTGGTCTATGTCAAAGTGAAACCAGGGCCAAGTGATAGCTCTTAACTCTTAAGTTGAGGTGCTCTTAAGTAGAGGTTCCACTGTACTTAATTTATTTAGAATTAGATTTGTTCTTAGAATTTGGGAGTTATTTTTTTAAAAAAATATTTTTGTTTATTTTATCACAATTCAAAACATTTGTTGTACATCATTTGTTTTACAGCAGACACATAATATTCAATACAATTGACAATACATTAACTTTTGGCATGTACTGTTATTTTTACGCTTATACATATTTTCTGTCCCTCACCACCATGTTCCCCTCCCCCTGAGTCACGCCTTTTACATATCATCTGTCCAAAATTTTATTTCTCCTTCTAGTGGTAACTTTCTGTCTTTCTTTTTGAATCCTCTTTCAATAAATTTTCTCCATACATCATCAAAATCACATTGTTTCCTTATCCCTCTTTTAATTTTAATTTACATGTCAGCTTGTCATTTAATGCCAATTTCCATACTTCCTTATACCACTCCTCAATTTGTATATTTATTTCCCCTTTCCAATTCCTTTCTATAAGCAGTCTTGCTATGGTTAATAAGTTTGTTATCACATCTTTATCCTCTTTTTTCAGCTGTTTATTATTATATAATGATAATAAAGGTATACTAATTTGTTTTTATATGTTGGGTTGCCAAATTTCGTTACTATGGATGTATTGTTGTGTTCGGGCATTGAATGTTTGCCTATTTTGTTTGGAATCCGTCCTGAGTCCCTCCGGGGAGATAGGGTGGAATATAAATAAATTATTATTGTTAGGACTTATTTCTATTTTAATGTTAATTATTAGGGCTGTCCAACCACGGAAAAATTTGTTTCTAAACTCGATTCGTTTTTAGGGGGTTTTTGCGTTTCGATTTTTAAAAGAATTCCAAAATTTTTCTTTAAAAAAGTTTGATATTTACGAAATTTCGGAAATTACGAAACAATTACGAAACAATTACAAAACAATTACGAATCGATTCGTTAATGGCGGGCGCGATCGCGCAATACGCTAAAAAAACCTCCAAGTGGGACAGGGGGAACTTCTGAAGCTTCCCTCTCCCTCTGTTGTTGACTGTTGGTGTGATAATTATATATTTTTTTCACTGATAAAACAAACAGCAACCCTAAAACTTGCACCAGACATGCGGAAATAATAACGAAACGATTTCGAAACGATTTTGAAACGATTCCGAAATGATTCTGAACCAATTACGAAACGAATTGAAAAATTCGTTTCGTTTTTTAGTTGCTCCTGAATGGTTCAATATCGCTTCGTTATCAAAAAAATAATGAATTAGAAACGAATTACGAAATTAACGAACGAAACCACCCAGCCCTATTAATTATATCCTCTATCTCTCTAAACACTTCCCCCCAAAATTATTTACATATTTACACTGCCACCACATATGTATATAAGTTTCCAATTTTTGACAACCTCTCCAGCAATTTTTGAATAGTTTTTATTTATTATATTTGCTATTCTTATTGGTGTTAGATATAATTTCCATATTAACTTATAGTAATTTTCTTTAACCAGTATTGATAATTTTTTCAAATGTCTTTGTCTCCATAATTGTGATCACTCAGTTTCATTTATTTTCATCCCTAAATCTTCTTACAATTTGGAAGTTTTGAATTGTGATAAAATAAAAATATCTTTTAAAAAGATAAGCATACATGCAAAAGACTATAGAAAGGGAAACAGAAGAACGAGGTGCATGAATGAAAGGCAAGACCTCCTAAAGTACATAGAATTTCAATGGCTCTGATTCATGAAAGTGTTAAGGTGTTTTCTTAAAATCAAAATAACACCCACTCACCCAAAATTAGATACCTACCTGTGGGTCACTTCTCAGTGATGCTGTGCCACCGCCACCAAGCGAGTTTTTTAGTACAAAATTCAGTCCATATACTCCAGGTAGTTCATATCTACCAAAAGAAAAAATGGTTTTCCTCATTATCTTCCAATACAACTGAATGAAAAATGACATTATGGATAATTTTAGAAAACCACACTGAAAACTAGGATTGTGTCTACACCAGGCATGTTCAAACTTTGGCCCTCCAGGTGTTTTGGACTCGCAACTCCCATAATTCCTAACAGCCTATCAACTGTTAGAAATTGTGGGAGTTGAAGTCCAAAACACCTGGAGGACCAAAATTTGCCCATGCCTGATGTAGACTGTAGAATTAATGCAGTTTGACATTATAACTTCAAAGACTCAGTGTTATGAAATCCTGGAAGTTGTAGTTTGGAGGGGCACCAGCACTCTTTGGCAGAGCAGGCTAAAGGTCTTAAGACACCTCCCAGGATGCCATAGTATTGAGCCATGATTGTTAAATTGGTGTCAAACTGCATTAATTCTACAATGTAGATGTACCAAGTACACATTTAATGGAGATAATCTCAAAGTAGTGACATCTTAATGGTATGCAACTCAAGCAACAGAATCTATTTCTTTTAATGACTATGTTTTTAAAATTAGAAGTATTCACAAACTACAGGGGTCAAATCCGGAGCATCTGCTCAGTTTATATCCAGCAATAATAACAACAGCAGGTGACATAATGACAAGATGTGATCAGAACTCAACTTGTTCACTTCTATAAAAAGGTACAGTTTGGGAGTGGGGGCAGGAAAGGCAATGTGAATGATTGTGGGAAATAGAAAGGGAAATTAAGATGGTAGTAGATAATATCATTCCAAACTTTCAATCATATTATAATCGAGTATGTGCAAACAGGAAATAATGAAATAAAAATAAAGAAGTCCAAAGAACAGAATATATATATATATATATATATATATATATATATATCCCCATGGTTCGTTGAAGTTCAACTGCTTTTGATAGTCATTAATCATTTGTGTACATCCCAGTTTAGCTACAAAGAGGACTCAAATTTGATTGAATTGTATCTACAATATCTTTCTGAACTTGACAATGAACTGAAGAAAGGCTACAAATTCTTATCTGTACTCATTTGTTTATCAGCATGAGAAAAAGTAAAATTTTATTATTGAAATGTAACAATGCAATCCTGTTTCCGGATGCAATTAAAAATTACTTATGTATCATTCTCTGTTTCAGCGGAAAGCTTGTTTGTTCTCATAAGCATACACACTGTGTCACAGTCAAATTAAGAAGCCTTCAGATCTGAGAACATGTGAGTATAATTCTCTCTAATCCTCAGGAGAGAGACAAAAGTGTTCATTCTTCTCTCTGGTTGCTTTTTCACACTGTTCATGCTATTATATTATCCCATCTTTAAAAGACACACCAAAACAAATGTGCATTATTTGCTTAATCAGAGAACTTTAATTAATCTAGAAATTTCGGTCTTTAGTGGAGCAGATGTTTTCATGAAATCAGTTCATGATGTAGAAAGAACAAGGACGCATGTGGGTTGTATGAGTTAAGAGGTTTGTGCTCAAAAAGGGGTTTAATTATTCTGTGCACCAAACACACCTTCATAAAAATCAGTGGTTCCCAACCTATTTTTGACTAGGGACTATTTGACCAGGGACCATTCCCCAAAATTAGTACCAAAAGAGTTACAAATCAGTTTTTGGCCAACTTTAGATTTGGTTTGGTTATTTGGGGGTGCTAATTCAGAAAACTGCATTGGACAGACCATATCCACCTTAGTTTCTGATACAGAACATATGCCATCCAGTAGTTGCCATCTGCTCACCCACAGAAAAACATATTTAATAATTTAGAGCTGATGTGGTAGTTGAAGGCTTTTGTGGGTAGCCAGCCACTCCCCTCCCAACATCCCCGTTGCTTCGGCGCTATAAGAGGGTTTTGCGAGAACGGTTGCTCTCGTTGCCACGTGGTTTCAAGGCAACTATGTAGTAACGGTGAGGACACAGACCATATTTTTGTTATTGCAGACCACTGGTGGTCCATGGACAACAGGTTGGGAACAACTGATATAAATTCATCAAACCTGTTCTCCATTTTAATACTTATGGAATACCTCAATATAGGTTGAATATCCTTTCTCTGAAATGGTTGGGACCAAAGTGTATTGGATTTTTCCTGATTTTGGATTTCTTGTATTTGCATACATGTACATAATGAGACAAAACAGAGATGAGACCCAAATTTAAACATGAACTCTGTTTATGCTTCATGTACCCCTTATATACACAATCTGAAGGCCATGTTATACAATACTTTAATAATTTGTGCATGAAGCAAAGTTTGTGTACACCAAACTATCACTATCTCAGCCACCCATGTGGACAATTTTGGACTTCAGAGTAATTTTGGATTTCACAAACCTGGACATACTCAGCCTGTACTATGAACACTATTGGTTAAAAAAAAAGCATAAGCCATAGTTGTGACATTATATAAAAATGAAAAATAGCTGCGTAAGTACTGAATTCCTTGGAGGAAATCACAGAACAAATGTTCAATGCACCTCAATTTCTTCAAGAACAGCTTGAAGACTAACCAATTAAATACCTTCATTAATTTAAATGTAAAAACATTCAATTCCCATTTTTCATCTAAGTATAACTGTGCAGTGGGGAGATAAGGGTATAGAGACCCAAATCCAATTGTTTCTCCCAATTAGAGTAAACTAATTGAATCTTTCAACAAATGATGAGTCAACAATTATGTAAATTCCACTACTTGTTTATTGATTCAATATGTCTACTTTAGCTGGGAGTAGCAATTGGATTTAGACCAGAGTTTCGGATATGAGAAAGCCATCTCCCTAACTGTAATCTCTGTTATAAACTGACATGGGCTTGGACAGAGTAATTCACACATTTCAAATGCTCAGATAAAATTGATTGACTCAGACAGATATTATGATCTTGTCGCCATATGATCCTTTGTCACATACAAAATGTACAAGAGTACAGTGTCAGATCCATTTTACAGTAAAAAGTAGCTTATTGCATTTTTCTTGAGCAGTCATGCTACAGTTATACTTGTTGAATGGAACAACACTTTATTAGGAGCAATATTCTTCCTAAATTGGACTGCTGCATAGTATAACATTGATAGGTTATTTCAAATGTGAATATTTCCTTGCAATCAAAGAATTCCAAGTAGTTCCTCCAAACCACGCATAGCATGAATGCATTAATACAAATGAGTGCATACCTTGTGACCAAGCTCTGCCCAGATTTTTCTTTCTCTAAAAGATGCTGGAAATAATCCTCTATTGCCTGAGCAGTTAAAATTTTCTTGAGGTATGGATAGTAGAGGGGATGTCGGGCTATGACACCTGTTGTTTACACACAAATAGGACACCCACTTATTGTTCTGTATGAAACATCAAAAATACTTTTTTCTTAAAACAAAAAAGGCATGCAGAACTCAGGGAGCCCTGAACTGGCATGAAACAAACTGGCTCGGGGTCACATTATAGTCAGATATGGGTGTAGTGTCTATGGCAAGACAGCGACCCAGTAGCCAGGTTGTGCCGAAGCCGCTTTGGCACAGATGGAAATTGTGCAGCATTCTACCTCCCCAGCACTCTAATAAACTGGCAGAAAATTGGCATTTACTTGTGCTTCATGCTGTTTACTTCCTGGTTGTTGCCATATGACTGAGCAAGGCAGCTTGAAAAGAGCAGAAGGAGCCTTGCTTCTTTCAAACTGCCTTACTCAGTCACATGGCAGCAACCAGGAAGTAAATAGCATGAAGCTCAGATATGTGTGAATTTTCTCTTTTGGGGGGAAATTGAGGTGCTAGAGGGCAAGAGGGACTGCCACTCCACCTCCGGCCTGCATGAGTCCAAGAAATGCACAATAGCTGTGGAGACGCCGATTTGGGATTGCACATAGGGACCTGGAATGAGTGTTTCCACTGCCATAACACAGGGGGAGATTGAAATCCTACTGTAGGATTTGGATCTCCCCCTGTGTTTTTTTTTTTTAAAAAAAACTGGGTTCAGCCACACTAAGTAGTTTACCCTGGGTTAACTTGCACCAGTCTGCATGCATTGTGTGGACACACACAAGCCAATACAACTCTACACTTCATTAAATGGCAGTATAGAACTGCCCTGAATTATCATAAACATAGTTACTTTAGCCAGGAAAAAAATAAATCTCTTTGCAGACTGTAATCCCCAGCACCACTACTGTTATCTTTACTTGTGATTATAATCTGTTCTTACTAGCACAGCCAGGTCTCTTACCCAGAGTTTCTGTACCTATGGATTCAACCATTCAAAGCTTGAAAATACATATTTTTTAAATCAAAAACCACACCTTGACTTTGCCATTTTATATAAGGGACACCATTTTACAACACTATGATCCATGGATTTTGGCAATTATCGGGGGGTCCTAGAAGCAAACCCTAGCAGATACTAAAGATCACACAGTACATAGTAAAGTAAATCCAGTGTTTTAACTATTCAAACATTTTACTAGTTTAACTATTTAAGTATGAAGCCATATTGAAAGCCACATTTAATTTATTTCAATTATTCATATCTCACCTTTTGCAAAACAATCCCAGGACAGCTAACAATGAAAACATTATAACACAGTAAGATAAAAAACAGATGCAACAATATGAACAGAATCAGCAAAGCAGACAAGAAAAGCAATGGAGTTGGAAATGAAAAGGAAAACTGAAATAGCAGTAGATAAGGCAAGTCAAAGAGGGAAAAGGTATAATTAAAAACCCTCCAAGGCCCAAGAGCACAAATTGACATCGCCTGGTGCCTCATTTTTAAGATGCTTATAGACAAGTTGCTGCCATTCTGTGAACTTGCTCCAAGAATGACAATAGGCATGGAGAATAAAATCTATGAAAAAGGTTGAAGGAACTGGGCTTCATCTCTGTTGAAGAGAAGACTGAAAGGTGATATGATTGCACTCTTTAAATACCTCACGGGATATTTAAGGAGCGCAATCATACGAAGAGGAGAAGGCAAGTCTCTCCTGCCCCAAAAGGTGGGATCAGTTCCTAACTTTTGAAGTTGTTGGCGGAAAGTTTGAAACCGATGGAAAAAATATCCTCAACCCCCTTCACCAATTTCCTATTATAGCATTAGGCCTTTAGACAGTGAGAATGTCCTTCATGCTTTTACTCTATACATGCTGTTTCCAAAACATTCCCATTTGTTCAGTTACCCATTGTGGAGATGCATCTAAGCAACCACATCGTGACCAGGGGACCTTCCAAGTGTGGCTGCAAACACACAAAGCACTCCTCCCTCTCTTCTTCTTTCTCTTTTTCCTCTCTCAAATTTCAAGGTGGTGAATGCAGACTCTGCCAAGCTACTCCTCTTTTTGAATTATTTCCAGCAGTTACTCAGAGCTTAGGTACTTCATGTCCCGTCTGTGGGGACAAGCTTAATTACAAAATGTTAAGAACATTCCCAACATGATGTTGCAGTTCTCTTCATTTAGTAGATATTACAAAGGGGTCAAAATGTTAAGCACTTTCCCAATGTGAGACCACAGTTCTCCTCATTTAGTAAACACAGACTTCATGTTTTGAAACGAGAATGAAAGAATACCTATGTTTGCTGAGTTGCCCTTGTCCCCACTCCTGGTATAGGCAAGCTCTTCCAGGCGATATGCGTGTGGACCACTTGGTAAATCTACAGAGTGAAACACAATGCTGATTTTTTCACCTACTGAAAAGACTTTGTCTCCCCAAATTACTATATTCATGTGTGAGATTATTATAAATGAGTGGGGATTTGAACCTTGGATTACTGACATCTTTTTGGTACTCTACCTTATTTATTTATTTATTTATTTACTTGTGATATTTGTATACCACCCTTCTCAATCCCGAAGGGGACTCAGAGCGGTTCACAATGTTAGCAACAATTCAATGCCATCAATAAAACGGTATAAGACATTAAAATTGACCCTCCCCTAATAAAATGTTAAACATTGTTAAACACATCACATAAAATAACATCACCTATCACACAGAGATATAGCCGTTGTCGTAAACAGTCCTGGGTCACTGCACTTTCAACTTTCACTTTAAATATATCTACCTGTAAAATCTATCTATACACATATAATAATATACACAAAATAAAAGTGAAAATATGTATGCATATGGTTGGGGTGCCCACTTCCACAGACAGGCTCCAGCTAACACAAACAGCTTTAACCCACAGTACTGAGGAGTCACCAAAAGCACTTCCTCCAATGACATTTCAGGTTATAGTGCCATGAGCCTGTAGCCCAACCCCTGCCAATGTCCTTCCCAAACACCAAGTATGTTGTTTGCCAACCACCCAAGGAATGCTTTCATTTGGGGACAATTTCATCCTAGATTTTATGTGTTTTCTCCACCACAGACATCCCAGTGTTTTTTATTCTCTCAATTGGTGTGGAATTTGCATGATCCTGCTCACTGCTTCCCCCTTAACCCTTTCCTACTCTTTTCAACTCTGTCTGCACAACAAACGGAGCTGAACTAATCAGCAACTAAAGTTCACCCTGTATCAAGACAGAGCACCGTGACCCCCACTGACAATGGACCTGGACCACATTTGGCACACAGAACCTCCATGACCTAAGAAAAATACTGGAGAGATTTGGGGGGAATTCACTATGATTTATAGCATTGTAGGTAGTGGGATTTGGTTCACCTGTAATTAAAGAGCACTGTGGACCCCACTAACAATGGCCCTGAACCTAACTTGGCACACCAGAATCACCATGACCAACTGAAAACACTGGCGGGGTTTGGGGGAAACCGACCTTCATTTCATGATGTGAGTTGTAGTTCACCCTTATGCATTTTGTAAAATAACCTGGGCAACACTGGGCACCCAAGCTAGTTTACAATAAAGTTTTGAAATTTACCACAAAGAATTGGAAAAAATGACCCTAACAAGCTTGCAGATGTAATTATTTTGATTCAGCTATATTGTCTCAAAACAATTGTTTGCTTATATAACTTGCTTAATCTGTTTTTAGTAATTAAATAACCTAAGGCAGTAGACTAAATAACAGAATGCAACAATGTGGTCTGTCCCTAAATAATTGCTTATCCTATTAAAAGCAGTAATTCCCCCAATCTTCAGCACATGAAATCATGTTAGATAATTGAGCAAATTATGTCCAAGTCCTCACTCCATGTACTTTATTCATTAAGAAATTTTACTTTAGTTTGATAACACATTAAATAGTATTTGATTATTTGCGAACATGACATTTATAAAGATTTTATTAAAAATTGCCTGTGACTGCAACTGATGAAGAGTACTGTTAAGGAAAATATATTTCAAATATTTTACAAAGAAATTACAGTTGGTCCTCTGTATCCATAGGATTTGCATCCATGTATTCAACCATGGCTCAAAAATATTCGTAAAAAATATTCTAAAAGGCAAACTCTATTTTTGTCACATGTCAAAATGTGTACGAATACCTTCCGTAGCCTTCTGCCATTTCACAGATTCTGAGACTGTCTCCAGCGCTCATTTGAATTGTTCACCATTTTATATGGTATATTATGCAACTAAAGCAGGCATGGGCAAACTTTCTAACTTGGGGGCCACATGGTGGGCCGGGGGGGGGGGGGGGGGGGGGGGTGGACCAGGAGAAAGGAGGTTCCCCCCAAGCCCATTCCATGCCCTTTCCTCCCCTTCTTCTTCTCTTTCAGAGGCAGAAAGTGAAGGAAAGCCAGGAAATGTTTGGATTCCAAAAGGATTGGTCTTGGTCAGGATGAGATGGTGGATGGGAGAGAAAAAGTGTATCCAATAGACCCCGTAGTGTCTACTCCTGATATATAATCCTAGAGCTAGAAAAGACCCCCAAGAGCCATCCAGTCTAACCCCCTGCCATGCAGGAAGGCACAAATATAGCAGTCCTAATAGACAGCCTCTGCTGAAAAGCCTCCATCACACTCTGAGGCAGCCTGTACCACTCTCCAACAGATCTTACTCTCAGGAAGTTCTTCTTAATCTTTTTGGTCAAATCCCTTTCTCTGCCATTTGAGACCATTGCTTCCTTGTACCCTGGTCTCTAGAGCAGCACAAAGTCAGCCCCCCCCCCCCTTTTAAATCTTGAAACATGGTTCTCATGTTCCCTCTCTACCTTCTCCCAGTTAAACATCCCCCAGGAGGAAAGGAGGAAGGAAAAAGAGAAGGAAGAGAAGGATGGAAAGAAGGGTGGAAGGGAATGGAGGGAGGGAGGGAGGGAGGAAAGAGAGAAGGAAGGAAAGACAAAAGGAAAGGAGAAAGAGGGAGAGGGAAGGAAGGAAGGACAAAAGGGAATGGAGAGACGGAGAAAGAGGGAGGGGAGGGAGTTAGGGAAGGGAGGAAAGACAGAAGGAAGGAAGGAAGGAAGGAAGGAAGGAAGGAAGGAAGGAAGGAAGGAAGGAAAAAGGGAGAGAGGGAAGGAGGGAGGAAAGAGGGAGGTACAAAAGGGTGGAAGGGAATGAAGAGAGGGAGAAAGAGGGTGGGAAGGAAAGGAGGGAGGGAGGCAAGGAGGAAGAGAAAAGGAAGGCAGGATACGATGGTGAGAGAGAGAAGGGCCTGAGAAAAGAGCCCAAAGGCCTGCATATGACCCCTGGGCCTGGGTTTGCCCATACGTGGACTACAGTATTTAAGTATTGATATCCATGGGTGTCCTGAAACCAAACACCACTGGATACCAAGGACCCACTGTATTTCCAGATTGGCACAATCACTGTATCGACCTGTATTTTTTTATACACAATGTGAGTGGGAGAAAATGATCAATGAAGAGTACATTACACATAAGGCCTACATATGAAAATATTAACAACAGAGAAATTTCAACAACAAACAGTACCTTTCATATCTTCTTGAATCTTTTGCTCCTCAGGTGAAATGGGTGCATCTGAAGTGAATGAAAGATCTTCTTCAAACGTTTCAACATGATGTCCATTCATATATATGTCGATCTGCAATAACATCCTGATTTAAAATATTAAACAAGCAAATTGCATTGTAATGCCACACATACAAAATCAGAAGCCACGTTGGTAAAGAGATTGATAACTGTGTTTGCGGTCAGCACTCCTTTGTCACATCTAACCTGTGTTCTTTTACATAACATCTCTGCTGATACAAGCCTGGGATTCTGCAACAGCTAACCAGGCTATAGAAACTGATGTTTGATGGTGCCAAATATATAAAAATGTATGATGGTGCTATATTTAAAATACAAATATTTTAACTGCTATTCATGGAAAAAATCAATTATGTGTGGTTTAATCTAGTGAAGAGGGTGTTTAGACTCCTATTTTGACCCATATTTGAATGCCGTTTTAGAACAGAGTTGCACTTGGATCAGCCATTCTCTTTCAGCCCGATCTACCTCACAAGGATGGGAAGCCGCCAGGACAATACTGATTTAGGAAAATATCCATTCAAAAATGTTTTCAGCTTACCCTCTCCTCCAAACACAGAGGGGGAAAAATTAGTTTTCTGTCCAATGTCTTCTGAACACTAAAGATTTCTAACTTGTGAAGCTGGAGAAACTGCACATACTCTGTTCTGAAGTTTGTACAATTACATAAAGGCTGAAGGAAAGCCCCACTGATCCTTATTCATCAGTAGAACATAACACAGCTTTACTGCAAACCAAATAACAGAACCTTTGTATTGGAGCCTTTCTTATGCAATAGGTTTTCCTCTTACAGAACAACTGAAAGCTGATCCAAACATTAATCAGAGGAAATTATATTGGCTGAACTACTTTAGAATTCATTGTGGTTGAGGGTCAAGATAGGGCAATGTATGTTCATGTAGACCTCCTGTTGAAATCACTCTTCCATGTCACGTAAAGTTTGTAGTTGCACCAAAATCGTCCCCACTGAAGGGGTACTTTCAAATAAGTAGGCAACGACATTTTTTTATTTCAAACATGCATAATATCAAACTAGGCCCACAACTCTCACCAGGTATAACCAATAAAAAAAATTATTGTATGGGCCCAAGGCCATGACAAAAAGCACCACATGCGCACAATAGTACCCTCGGAGCAACAAGCATAACAACAACAACAACAACTTTATTTTTATACCCCGCCATCATCTCCCCGAAGGGACTCAGGGCGGCTTACAAGGAGACAAGCCCAAAAACACAGATTAAAACATACACAATAAAATAAAATGAAACAAAATAATATTGACAACAACATCAGAAAAACATTACAATCACAGTACACATTTTAAAAACAGTATAATGGCTGAAAAATTAAGTGCTGAGTGCGGAAGGATCAGGAAATGTGAAATCGTTCCTAGATAGAGCCCAGGGAAAGTGCAGGATGCGCTTCAATTCAGTTAAGGTCACAGTTGGGAGGATAATGTCCTTAGGCATTTACAGTAACAATATTACAGGTGGGAGGGCCAACGAAAGTGCAAAAAGCTACGGTGAGATTGATCAAAATCAAATGCACAGCAGAACATCCAGTTTTTAACTCCTTGTGGAAAATGGAAAGGGTAAGTGCCAATCTGATCTCCAGAGCCAAGGGGCTACCACCAAGAAGGCCCTCTCTCTTGTTCCCACCAGCCATGCTTGAGACGGCAGCAGAAACGAGAGCAGAGCCTCCCCAGATGACCTTAAAGTACATGCTGGTTCATAGGGGAAGATGCGATTTCAAAGATCTCCCTTCAATTGCAGTGCCCAGAACTGGACACAATGTGATTCCAGGTAATGTGGTCTGATCAAGGCAGAAGAGAGGAGGAGCATGGGGAGCAGGATTCCCTGGATCAAGGCACTAGGCTCCTCTTGATGCAGGCCAAATTTCCATTGGCTTTTTAAGCTGCTGCAAGACATTCATGACATTCCACAAAACATTACTATTGCTGTCGAAGGCTTTCATGGCTGGAATCATGGGTTGCTGTGAGTTTTCTGGCTGTATGTTCCAGAAGCATTCTCTCCTGACGTTTTGCCCATATTAATGGCAGGCATCCTCAGAGGTTGAGAGGTTTCCATACAGCCCAGAAAACTCACAGCAACCCAATACTATTGCTGCTAGAACAGAGAGGGAAAAGGGTTCTAAGCTCCTAAGTGGATATTGCTTCCAAAACTAGTAAAACTGAGTGAGGACGGCAGAAATTTTATCTCCACCATACTACTATAGGCTGTTGTTGAAAACAGACCCAGACTTTTAAATGTTGCTGCAGCAGCTTAAAGAGAATGGCTACAACTAGTTCTTACCTTAATATTCTTTTTGGGATAAAGGAAGAAAAATGGTTTCAGAACTGGAGAACTGGAGGGAGAGCAGAGGGGAAGCAAATTAATATCAAACAAGTGCAATTCAGTAGGTTTTATTCAATCTTTGTATACATTTCAAAACTATTCCTAACTCATTGGTCATCAGGACATGAATGTGATAACTGACAGTATAAGAGGAGATACAGTATTCTACACTCTGTTAAGAGAAAAAAGACTCATCCTAGTTAATTACAAACCACAGGCTGAGTAATTGGGGAAATTAAGGTTAACAAGTTTTGGGCCAGTCCCCAAGGGGTATAACTGGGGAGAGTTTGTTGTATGATTTTAGGCTTATTTAATGTTTGCCTCTGAGCTTACTCAGTGTGAGGTCCTAGCTTGCAGCCTATTTGTCACTGGTATGTTTGTCTTCCATGCTCGTCTCCATGAACAAGTAATGAAGATTGGGAGAAGACATATTTTCTGATGGAAAGCACTGCATGAATTTAATGCAAGGACCATACGTGAGTTTGATACGCCTGAGGAACTGTGATTGTATTATTATTAGAAAGTTTGTGTTGAAGTTGCTGTTTTTTTTTCATGAACTCTGCTGCACATGAGTAAAATTTAAATTTTGCATTTCTTCTACTTGTGTTGCTTTTTTAATATACAAAGGACTAATCTTCAGTTGATCTGCACGTATCATGAAACCATAACACAAATCACTCCAAGATACAAGAGCCAATTCAGACTGAAAATAATATTTTAAATAGACATTCATCAAAGATATTAGACCTCAGAGTATACAGTATATGGGTTACTCTGTATGGATGATATCCTCTAAAGTTCCAAAAGATACTACGTTGTTGAAATTCCTCTTTTTTAAACTTACACTTTGGGACGCCCTCCAACAATTCCAGTGAGACCAGGTGCTAAATATGGGAGAGAAAAAAAGGGAAAACATTCTAAAGGTGGTTTAGTTTCACAAAACTGTTGAATATTTTTCCATGTCTAGACTTCAGTAAATTCCAAACCCATCTGTTTCCTAACATTACATGATAATAATACATGACATTAAAACTAAAAATGTTAACGACCTTTTGAATTCCTGATAATTAATTTTTTGACACGTAGGACAAGAACACTGCCAGCCTTTCAATAAAAAGGAATACATTTTGGGAAGCCAAAATCTTTGTAAGCTGGCTTTTGAATTTGTTTTCATAGTTCAATGTTTTCTTACTTAACTGATATACAAGAGAAATGTATGTACGGATGGGTAGTTGACTATTAGTGCTTAGGTTATGAAAATAGAACATGAGAACTGAAAAGAAAAGGTGATTAAGAAGACAAAGTTTTGATGTGAAAGAGTCTTCAGGAATCAGGAGGGAGTAAACCAGGGGTCCACAAACCCCTTGGAGATCTATGGAAAGATTTCAGGTGAGCTTGGAACTGGAACAAAAAAAATCCATGTATGTTTATTTTCTCTGAACTCTAACTGAAGTCTAGCATTTTCTTCATTTATGAATATATGCAATAAATTACAATAGTATTCATTTCATATCACATCACAGTGTTTCATATCTTGACAAATTGCTTATGTCATTCATACTTTGAAATTACTAAGTATGTATACTACTATATGTTTTCTTTATTTTAGAAACAAACATCTGACTTACAGACAACTCATAGTTATGAATGGGCTTCTTCACTCCCTGCCCGCCATGAAATCTTAGTGCTGAGCCAAAGCACATCTGCATCTCTCCATACCACTATACTCTCCTCACTATCGATCTCTCCAAACCCCTTTCCCCTTTTCTTCCTATTCATATCTCTCAAAACTCCCTTTTCTTCCTATTGATCTCTCCAGCCCTTTCCTTTTTCTTCCACCTTAAATTTGGTTGTTGCCTTCTGCAGAATTCTGGGGTTTGTAGTTTAGTGAGCCCAGGAATTCTCTGGCTGAGAAAAGGCCCCTCCCTCAACTACAAACCCCAAAATTCTGCAGGAGGCAGCAACTGGATTTAAAGGAGAGAGATGCTCTAGATCTAATATTTCCTTCATCCTGCCTATATTTTTCAACTTCTCTTCACTTTTCCTTCATGTCAGATACCACTTCTAATTGCCCTGGCTCAGTGTCAAACTGCATTCATCCCGCAGCATAAGTACACCCCAAGGAAGATGGGGCAGAATAAACAGGAGGGGCTCATGGAGTGAAGGGTTATCTATTTCTATGGTTTTCCTTTCCATTGCTTGGAAGCTTTGGTGTTTTTAAAAGAGAGATTCAAATCACACAAGATTAAACATGAGCCAACAATGTCATATGGCAGCTAAAAACCAATGGAATTTTGGCTTGTTTTCTGTTGCCCTGGAGACAAGCTTTAAACTACAGGAAAGGAGATTCCACCTGAACATTAGGAAGAACTTCCTAACTGTCAGAGTTGTTCAGCAATCGAACTCTCTGCCCTGGAGTGTGGTGGAGGCTCCTTCTTTGGCGGTTTTTAAACAGAGGCTAGATGGCCATCTGTTGGGGGTGCTTTGAATGCAGTTTTCCTGCTTCTTGGCAGGGGGTTGGACTGGACAGCCTACAAGGTCTCTTCCAACTCTATGATTCTATAATGTGCACCTTTTTTGGTCAAATTACAAAGAGTGCACTTCTTGCTGGGCCTGTTCCAACTTACAAACAAATTCAACTTAAGAACAAACATATACCCTATTTTGTATTTAATTTGAGGGACTGCCTAAATATGTAATTGATTTCTTTTGGAATTTTATATTATGCATTTAAAAATATTATTCTTGTTGGTGCGGATATGATATATTTATTAAATAATACTATAGATTTAGTATTTTGATTTTTCTGGGTGAAGTGAATAAACTGCCTACAAAAAAGGTTGGCAAGAATGGTGTCATGGAAAAACTGTTTTAATGATGGCTAATGTATTGTTAATTATGCTTTTATGTTTAATTGTGTTTTTAATTACTGTAATTTGTTATGTAATGGCTTCGTAACAGGGCCCATTGTAAGCTGTCCTGAGTCCCCCTTCGGGGGTTGAGAAGGACAGGATAGAAATGCGAGAAATAAATAAATAAATAAATCTCAAAAATCTAAAAGTATGCAGAAAATGACTGAATGGGTGTTGCACTGTGTTAAGTTGTCAGGTATTAAAATATGAAAGTTGCCCTCTATGTCTGGAGATTAACTTTCTGAGAGTGAGTGCACATGGAGGCACTGTATACCATTTGAAACCTAGGTTTTCCACTAAAATACGGCACACGTCATAGAAATAACTTTGCCTGCAGAGATCTATTTTAATTGCTCTGTTCACTTCCTCTCCACCCAAAGAGATAAGATATCTTTTCGGATTATGTATTCAAAATAAATGGGGACTGTTCAAGTTAATTTAGAACATTTCTTGAAGTAACGTCCAAAACACTTGTCAACAGTCATAATATTTACATATACTCAGGCACTTTGAAATCTCAAACTGCATTAACCAGCTGTCATTGTGGTGTCAACCTCCGGTCAATTTGATGTGAAATAAGGGTCAGCACATTAGTTTTGCAAATAGGAAGATCTTTTCTATCCACTGAATTGAGCATTTATTAAGGGTAAGAAATGTTCATGTTCTTTCCTGATAACTGGTGGAAAATTTTTACCATTCATTTTCCTGCAGTGTTTCAAATGAAGAAATGTCAAAGGACTTTCGCTTAATTATGGGGGCAGAGAGGGAGGGATGTTTTGAATTATTTTAATATAACACTGCCTGGCCATTCCTTATAGAAAAGAGTATGGTAAATATGCTGAGGGGCCATCAAACAACCATTTCATAATTTAGTAATGCTGACTTGAGGCAACCAAGCTTTTGCTTATCACAATTATGTACTTATTGAGAAAAAAAACGTAATTTACAATATAAAAATACAGGATTTATAATCCAAGCTGTCTCCAAAGAGACGCTTAAGGTAGCTCAAAATAAGTAAGAACAAAACAATACAATTATTTATTGGATTGACTTTTTCTGAAAGTTTTAAGCTTAAAATATGGAACATGATGAAATATATTTCCTGGCTTGCACTGAAGCAGACTTCAGGAGTATTACTGAACTTGCTAAATTAGTTCTTGAATATTTCTCCTTAGCATTTGGGTATTATTTCTTGATTAATTTTCCATTCATCATGCAACTGAAATATTTGCATACCAATCTAAAAATGTTTCAAGTGACTGGATATGCCCCAAGCCATTTTGTGTCTGGGTTGCTGTGAGTGTTCTAGGCTGTATGGCCATGTTCCAGAAGCATTCTCTCCTGATATTTTGCCCACATCTATGGGAGACATCCTCAAAGGTTGTGAGGTCTGTTGGAAACTAGGCAAGTGAGTCAAAGGTGGGAGAAAGAACTATTGTATGAGGAAAGTGTGAATGTTGTAATTGGCTACCTTGATTAGCACTGAATGGCCTTGCAGCTTCAAACCCTGGCTTGGCTGCTTCCTGCCTGAGGGAAACTTTGTTGGGAGGTGTTAGCTAGCCCTGATTGTTTCCTGTCTAGAATTCCTCTGTTTTTTGAGTGTTGCTCTTTATTTACTGTCTTGATTTTAGAGGTTTTAAATACTGGTAGCCAGATTTTGTTCATTTTCATGGTTTCTTTGACATTGCTGTGGATTTCACTGTGTAGTCTGACATGGTGGTTGTCAGAATGGTTCAGCATTTCTGTGTTCTCAAATAATATGCTGTGTCTACATTGGTTCATCAAGTGCTCTGATATGGCTGACTTCTCAGGATGAATTCATCTTCAGTGCCTTTCATGTTTCTTGATTCATGTTTGGGCAATGCTGATTTTGATGATCCCTATGTAGACTTGTCCACAGCTGCATGGTATATGGCAGACTCCTGCATTTTGTGTCCCTTCATATGTGCCAACAGGTTTCAGAGATATCTCATTAGCCGCTATGAAAAATCAGATGCCAGACTACATAGGCACTTGGTATAATTCAGCAGGATGGCCTGTTAAAGGAGAGGCCCACTGCATAACATCCAGGGATCACAGGAAAACTCAGCAAGGAAAAACACAAAAACAGAAGGAAAACACAGAACAGGGAAGAAGGAAAGAAAAGGAGAAGGCAGGCCAAAAGAATTGTTACTGCAATAACAAGAAGGACTGAGTAGCAAGAAGTGGAGTTTTCCTTTAGGACACGAGCACTGATTCTGATGGACCACATCTACCTCCCACCACCAATCTTTCTTTACAATATTATGATTCATAATAATCTGTTTATACAATGTTATAAAAATGCACCTTGCAAGTCCATTTTCTCAATATGTGTGCCTACAGAGACTAAAGATATAAACAATTCACTATCTGTAGTTAAGAGTCTTTACAGTAATAATTAAAATAATATACCTGTCCTGCGATTTTCCCTGATTTTCCTTTTTATCCAGTATTTCTTAGTTCTTCAGCAAAGTCTAATAGCATCTTGCAGCTTCCTTTTAAGAAGTGCACTTTGGTATTTACCAAGATGCTACCCTGAAAGCCACTGTTACATCTAAAAAAAAATGGGAAAATAATTGTCCATCAAGGGGTCTAACCATTCCCTCTAGAAAGCCAAGAGAAAGTGTGAGTGGGACAAACATGGCTACAATAATAAATTGATAGATAGGGATAGACAGATGGAGACAGAAGTATTTGTAAGAAAACAGCAAGTTCGTTTTTTGGTAAATGAAAGATAAAATCACAACTAATCTAATGCTTGTTTACTCAGAAGCAGGTATACTGAAATCAATATGATTTCTTCCACACAAAATAAGTTCATTGGAATGACACTGTAGATCTAGAATTATTTAGCTTCTATTCTAGTGATGCTATCTTTCTAAACTTACATTTATGACTCTTAGGCCAATGCTATTATAATAACATTAACATTATTAACAAGACTTTATATATTTATGTACTTTTGCCTTTTCAATAACACATAACAGCACATTTATTTAGATTTATATATGTTCTGTGGAATGTGTTTTTAATAAATTATATTTTGCAGGCATGAAAATCATTGAACGTAAACACTATCAGTAACAAGTGTCAGGATGGTTATATCTGTCTTATCTTAGTAATATTTAAAATCCCATAGATTTTTTTGTTGACCTGTTTCTGTAAACACAATTTTAAAGCAAGGAATTATATGTTTATTATGTTGGCCCTTGCAGAAGCAATAAGAAAAATTGGCCAGTTCTTCAAAGATCCAGAGAGGGTTTCTACGCAGGCATCAAGACCTATTTGTTTCACAGCAACCATGAAGAAAACCTCAATAGTTTTGTTTTGTTTTTTTCCGCGTCAGGAGCAACTTGAGAAACTGCAAGTAGCTTCTGGTGAGAGAGAATTGGCTATCTGGAAGGATGTTGTCCAGGAGACGCCCGGATGTTTTACCATCCTGTGGGAGGCTTCTCTCTGTCTCAGCATGAAAGCTAGAGCTGACAGATGGGAACTCACCCCACTCCCCAGATTTGAACCTCCAACTTTTCAGTCAGCAGTCCTGCTGGCACAAGGTTTTAACTCATTGCTCCACCAGAGGTTCCACCTGAACAGTTTAATTACATGACAACAAGCTAATGTATTTCTACCATCCCAAGCAGTGCGGTTACTTGAGTCTAAAGGACATTCAATGCAAATTCAGACCTTAAAAGCTTACCTTCTGCTCTAAATATGCATAGATTCTTCCTGTTCTAAATGTACACAAATGTTTCCTGTCTTTTATTGTAAAGCTGCCAAACTATAGAAAATAAAGGTGCACTGGTTAAATATTACAAGTCTCTTTGGCTCTAAGTTAGGACCAGAAATATTTTTTTCTTATTACATTGCAAATAGCAGCAACAATGAATTCTTTATCCACATTTGAATATAACAGAAGTTGCTATAGTATCAAGGCAGATGGTAAGCATGAGAAGAGCAAGATTTCATTACTGCCTCACCCATATATGCTGCCAATGAGTATTTATTTATTTATATATTTGGTATATTTCTACCCTGCTCTTCTCACCTCAAAGGGGACTCAGAGCGGATTACAAATATGGCAAAATTCAATGCCGCATTAAAAATATAAAGAAACAAATAAACACATAGAGTAATAAAAACAGCTTAAAGCATATAAATACAATTAAAATAGATTAAAAGCATAGTGCCTAGACCCATAGTTGTTGTTGTGTCCCATTTCATGTTTCAAAATTCCTTAAACATCTGGTGCCATAGCCAGGTCTTTAACTTTTTCCTGAATATCAGGCGGGAGGAGGCCAGTCTAATGTCATTGGGAAGGGAATTCCATAGCTGAGAGGCCACCACTGAGAAGGCCCTGTCTCTTGCCCCCACCAATCATGCCTACAAAGGGGGGTGGGATTGAGAACAGGGCCTCTCTAGCAGATCTTAGTGCTCTAACCAGTTCATAGGGATTCATAGGGAGAGATACATTCGAACAGGTAAGTTGGGCCAGAATCGTTTAGGGTTTTATAGGCCAAAGCCAGCACTTTGAATTCTGCTCCAGTGAGCAGCCTGGCTGTTGCCTCTTGGACTACTTAGAGCGTCCGAACAGTCTTCAAAGACAACCCCATGTAGAGTGCCTGAAGTAGACTGAAAAATGGAGAATGTCGAGAAGATGAAGCCAAGAAGGGGAAAAAGTTGTTTGGAACAGGAAAATGTGAGACAGCTGAAAAGCAGACCAACATCAGAAGCATAAAGTGGATCAAAAGGAAGGGGGGATATGAAACAGTGGACAGGAGCATTAGTTGCCAACTCTTGTCAGGCTCATTATTCAGCGAACTTGTATGTAAATTGTAATTAAAATGCATTGAACTAATTAAATCATGAGTTACTTTTTCCACCAAGGAACCACACATTTTCATGGTTCAATAATAGAATGTATTATTCTAAATCACAAATAAAAGAATTCAGACATCAGAGACTGAACAGGGAAAGTTTTTAAAAAATTACCCATTCCAGTTCCAGCTGGGGCAATTTCTCTAGAAAAGATTTCCACTGCTTTTTTTTCCTTATGAAGTACAGCAAGCCAAACAACAGCTTCCCGAGGACCCTGTTTTTAAAACAGAGGTGGAAAAAATACACATAGATACAAAGAGCAAACAATCATTTCAACTGTATAGTATGAAGTACAATTCTGCTAACAACTGAAAAAAAATTCTATAGTTAAACATTTGAGAATTTAAAATATGAGTCATAAATCATAGGGCACAATAATGTCCACTGTATATTGAAACCTAATTCTGAAGTGATCCATTATGTGCATAATTGATTATAATTACTAAACCTGCAGGTAAAATTAAGACATTAGTTTTAATTTGTTTCTTTGTACACAAAAACATCATATGCAGCACTGTATAATGTGGAGCATTAAAATTTATGACTAATGCTCAGATTTTAACTTGCAAGTTAGCTGTCTTCTATAGTCTAATTTCCTCTAGTGTCCTCTACTGTAAACTTGTTCATGCCTGGCTTTTCTCACTGACAGAAGGGATTCTGAGCCTTAGAATGTGACATATTGAAAGAAAGAGCACAATCCCAAGAAACTTAAAGAAAGAAAAGTAAAAATAACAACTTTCTCTGCTTCCTTTTGAGTGGAACCCATCACTGAGCCAACTGTATATTATATAGAATAATACATTAGGGATTCTAGTCCAGAATTCCTGAGTTGATGAGTATCTCAAGATAAGGAGGGCTGCTTTTTTCATAGGTTTTAGACATGTAAGAAGGTAAAAGTTTACTGGTCTAAGATTTATAAGTTACTCCAATAAAATAAAATAAAAGGTAGATTTACCAGAAATAAATTGTAGGACATTAGAGATATAAAAAAATGGAGAATAGATATGGATTACGTTTTGACATTATAGCCATGGTAAAACATCTGGGCATCCCTTGGGCAACATCCTTGCAAACAGCCAATTTTCTCACACCAGAAACGACTTGAAGTTTCTCAAGTCACTCCTGACACACACAAAGAAAAAACACCTTTTGTATTGTTCTCTTCTTGAATGAGAAATACTGATAAAAATAGCTCTTGTGTTCCTATTTCATTCACTTCTCTATTTAGAACCTCATATGCTTTCAATGGACAATCAACATTTTCTTTGGCTGTATTACTTATTCCCAGATGAATCAGCGGAGAAGGCAGTAAATGGTTTAATGAGCAGTGCACAGCAGTCTCTCTGTAATATCTTGAATATATGCTCCAAGCCTGTTTTTGCTGTCTTTCTCAGTAGGGAGCCTCCAACCACTATGATACATCTGGGCCTCCTTAGTCAGATTAACATCAAGGCACATCTTGGTGAAAGGAATTTAACCACCAATGGAAGGCCGAGAGAGTAGCCCCATCTTCAGTGGTCAAAATTCACCCTCCATGTCAATAGTCTATTATCAACTATGAAGTTCCAGATTCATGGCACAACTCCCTTTATCTTCCCTTGTAGGAAAAATCTTAGCATGGACTTCCTTCCTGGCGTAGTTTCTATTGTTCTTAGATGGAAAGACATGATAATACATATGCTCCAGACCCATCAAGCAATTTCCAAATGGCCAATTAACTCTGGATTTCTTTTCCCCATGACAGTCCTATACCAAACAGAAGTGTATTTACTCACAAGTGAGTAAAACCTGCTCTGATTAGCTCCAGCTGATTATTTCAAATATTTCTATTCCACTTCTCCTATACCATGGGGCAGTTTACAGTAAGTTCTAAAAGATCCATCTAAAACAACTATATGTGCACGTGTGTGTGTGTGTATCAGCAGCCACAAATCAGCAGTGGTAACGGAATTAATAAAATTAATATTCAAACTAAGTATCTCTACAGGCTTCTTGCTCATCAAATTTTTGCTTTAAAAGACAGATTCTACAATAACTCCTAAAACTCATCAGAAAAGGACAATTAATTGCCTAGTCTAGGAACAGCACTATTTTGACTGCACCGTAATCCCGATATTTTCCACTGCCAAACTTCATCACATTGAATAACAGTACTTGAATGGGAGTGTTTATGGAAGCTACCTTACTTGCCCTAGAAAAAATAAAGAGCAGTCTAAACAAACTGTGTGAAGGGAAGCAGAGAATGCCAAGGAAAAGAGGGACTTTTTCACCTTGGCATAACCACCTCTGCCTCTAGTGTTTTCTGGCCTTCCTATGAGAGTATAAAAATAGGGGAAGAAGGGGAATACTGATGAAAATGTAGGATGGGAAAAATTCTTCTTACTGATTTACATCCCCTCATTCTTAATTTCAAGGTATCTTTCAAAGGTAGAAATGCAAAAGGAAAAAAGAAATCTTTTTTGGGCCTCCATATTCTGATAAATAAATATTTCTGAATTCCCATTTCATACATACCCCATCTATGTTCTGTTTGGCATGTGGTCCATATGTTTCCTCAGAACCTAGAATCTGTAGGTTAACAGCACTGTAATCCCCATATCCCAGTTTATCAAACATAATGCGAGTCCTGAAACAAGAAATGATTTGGGATCAGATTACTTTAAAATTTATCTTCCCCCTAAGAGGCAGTGCTTCTCATTATGATATAACCAGTTGCTTAGCAATGCGGAAAAAGGCCTTCTCTGTGATAGTGACTATACTACGAAATGCTTTCCCCATTCCCTTTTATACAGAATACACCATGCCAAGAGTTAAATACTTTTGTGGCCTATTAAATGTATTTTTAAAAACTCAGGTACATCTTAATTACCAAATGTTAGAATTATATTTTTGTGTATTTTTGTAAATTTTATTTCTCTGTAAATTGCTTCCAGATTATGGATAGTAAGTGATCTGTATTTTTAATAATCATGGTCATATTGTGATAGTCTGCTTCATGCATCACTTCCAAACACAATGGATACTTGATAATTGCTTCTGTTATCACAACACAACCTTTCTAAAATACTTTTAGCAGTTCTTCTGCCCTTTTCTGTTGCTCTTGGGCCTCCCACTGGACAGCAAGCTGTAGCTCTGAATCCATTAAGATATGTGGCATTCACCTGGCAAAACAGAACAAGGTTTATCAACAATTGGGCCACACAGTTTACAGAAAACCTACATACAGATAGGTACCTACATAAAAACTCCAACCATCACCCAAGTAAAAAAAAGAAAAAAAGAAGCACAATTAAAGCCCTGGCAGTCCATGCAAAAAGAATCTGTGAACCCCACCTCCTCCAAAGTGAACTGAACCATCTAAACTGGGCTCAACAGGCCAATGGATACTCCACCACAGACATCAGAAGAGCTGCAAGACCGAGAACAAGCCACAAGAGTAAAGACAAAGATCTTTACCCAGAGGAAAAGTGTTCTCAGCATACATCAAGGGAACCACTGACCACATAGGGAAGCAGATGAGGAAATACAAGCTACAAATTATTTATACACCCACTATGAAAATCCAACAAATGCTACATTTAGCAAAGGGCAAGAGGGATCCTCTCACTTCTGCAGGTGTCTACTGGATAACATGCAGCTGTGGACAAGTCTACATAGGGACCACCAAACGCAGCACCCAAATATGAATCAAGGACTATGAAAGCAACTACCAAGTCAGACTACACAGAGAAGCTATTGAAATCCACAAGCATGTGGACAATTTCAACAGAAAGGAGGAAACCATGAAAATGAACAAAATCTGGCTACCAGTATTTTAATAAAAACTTCTAAGATCAGGTCACTAAATAAAGAACTCTGAAAAAAGGGAAATTCCAGTCATGAAACAATCAGGACCAGCCAACACCTTCCAACAAATGATTCCCCTAGGCAGTAAGCAACCTGTCCTTGAATCTACAAGGCCATTCAATACTAATCAAGGTGGTCAATTGCTACATTAACATTTGCTTCAAACAGTTCTTTCTCCCATCCTGGACTTCCCTCAGATAGATAGATAGATAGATAGATAGATAGATAGATAGATAGATAGATAGATAGATACACACACACACACCTCTTGCCTAGTTTTCAACAGACATCACAACCTCTGAGGATGCCTGCCATAGATGCAGATGAAATGTCAGGATAGAATGCTTCTAGAACATGGCCATACAGCCCAGAAAACTCACAGGAACCCACCCATACACCGATCAGTAATCAATAATAATATACTTCTTATATTTGCCATACGTTGGAAATGACTTGAAGTTTTACAACAAGTGCTTAATTTAGAAAGAGAACGGATAAAATATTTTAACCTAGTATAGTTTCTTCTACTTTGCTTTAAGTAAGCCATTAGTTCTCATTCAGAGTGATGCTCCTTCTTTCTGTCCTGGAAATCTTTTAAAGTATTCTTAAAACTGGCTGCTTCATTTGATATTTTATTTCTGTATCAAGATAAACTGTTATTGCTCCAAATTTTAAAGCCTTCATTCCTGAATGTAGAACATTCTCATAGTATTTTCAACAGTCAGATAAATGTGTAGATTCCATCAACTAACACTGCTAACTAGATTGACATCATTTTTCTATATGGTTTGACCTGAGACTGTTTGTTACAAATATAAATGGCAAAGTGATCCTTTCTAAAACTGAATGTCAACAGTGAAAATATTACAATTAAGTAGAAGGAGTGCACTTCAGTGACTCCTGCAAAGTTTCTTCAATACACTACAAAGGCAAATTTGACACCAGAATAATGACTTTCCTTCAGATGCAAAAAGTAGCATGCCAGTATAAAGCAATGTTAAGATCTAATAAATAATTAAAAAGCAATTAAAAACCTTGTAACAGGATGAAGGAGGCAATCCTTTAGCTCCCTGAACCTTCACTGCACCACCTTCAACACCTAAAAAGGATTTTAAAAAGAGGTAAGACATTTACTGTAACTTATAATGAAAGGCATGCTAATAAGCTTTTGATAATAAGCTGCTGCAGTCCAAGTGTCATCTGCTGACAACAACAGTTAGATGAAGATGAAAATTGTTAAATATGTTATGCTGAATACATGATAATAATTTGAAAATGGGATATGACAAAATCATAGAGAGCAGATCTGTAAGTAGATTTCACCCACAAATGACACATGAAGCCTCTTTCAGGGTGGTAGGGAAGCAGTAGGGGAAGAACTTTTGCATTTATGGTTGAATACAATGGAATCATTGGAGTTGTGGTTTGGTAAAGTACCAGCACTATTTGGCAGAAAAGGTTGTGTGCATATGCGCTGTAAGAATAATGCAGTTTGACATCACTGCTATGGAATCAAGGGATTTTCAGTTTTACAAGGTTTTTAATTTTCACTGCCAAAGAGAGCTAGTGCCTCACCAAATTACAAAACCCTGGATTCCAAAACCTTGAGGGTGCATGTACGTTAAATTTAATGCAGTTTGACACTACATGTCTCTGTGTCACAGAATCCTGGGAATTGTAGCTTTACAAGGTCTTTAGTTTACTTTGCCAGAGTGTGTGCATGCCTCACTAAACTACAACTCCTAGGGTTGCTTAGCACCAAGCCATAGCTGTTAAAGTGAAGTCAAACTGCATCAATTCTACAGTGCAGATGTACCCAAGGAGACACAGTTCCATTTAAGTGTCAGCTTGGATTTAGTCCTTGTTGCAGCAACATTCAGACTTTTCGGTTCAGTCTGCAGCACCAGAATTACTTAGAGCTATCCAAGGTGCTGACCTCTCTAGCTTGGCTCTCTGAAAAATTAGAACTACCCTGACTATGGCCACAGACTGGGTTTGTGAAAGGCTCTTTCATGTAGGGCACTGCAACCTTTTAGAGCAGTGGTTCTCAACCTGGGGTTCCCAGATGTTTTTGGCCTTCAACTCCCAGAAATCCTAACAGCTGCTAAACTGGCTGGGACTTCTGGGAATTGTAGGCCAAAAACATCTGGGGAACCCAGGTTGAGAACCACTGTTTTAGAGCTAATTTTTCCAACTGGCCAGTTTACCAGCTGTGAGGATTTCTGGGAGTTGAAGGCCAAAACAACTAGGGATCCAAAGGTTGAGAACCGCTGCCTTATACTGTTTCAGTGGGAAAACTTAACATCATCAGACTGGAAGTTGAATATTTTGATTTTGAACCACTGCCCTAGACCGTTTAGGCAAAGATGTAGTTCTCTGAACTGTGCCTGGAAACTGTGGCAATGAAATAAAAACAGATGAAAATTACATCCCAAAATCATGAAGCAGCCGTTTGCCTGGTGTATTTTGGACCAACTGAAATTGCCAAGTTGTTTCTAAAGACAAACCCATACATAGTTGCAATAACCTACCCCGGAAGTAGCTAGAGCATTACTAATGTGAAGTACTGTATACAGGAAATCTGAGATTTTACTCTGTTTCTCAGTACATGCAAATGGAATACTATTCCATTGTTTTAGTATTGTAGGATTGAACACAAAATTCGTGTGGATATTACATGAAAATACTACTTTTATTAATATTTTCCCTTGCACAATTACTTAGAAATAAACAATGGTTAACAGAATATATATTGAAGTGTAAAAGGATTGTTTGCCTCCAGAGTGTAAAAATATTTTGATCCATCAGTATGTGAATGAGAGTTAATTTTCCCTTTAATATAACTGGCATTTTAGCATTTTACTAATTTGAATACTAATATGTATTTTGAACTTTTGACGACAGGACAAGGCAAAGACCAAATCCAAAATCCAATTGTTAGTCCCAAGTGGAGCAGACCCATTAAATCAAAGAAATTTACAGAAATGTTGACATGCATCTTCCCATTAATTCTATCCAGGACCAAGAATTGAGTTTAGGCCAAAGCAAACATAATTTTATATTATTCGTACATAAAAGGTACTTATTTACTGTAAAAGAAAACCAATATAATAAAACATCTTCTAATAAAACTACAAAAAATTGTTCAACTTTGGTGACCTTTATATGAGAAAAAGAATTCACAATGTGAATAATAACTAAGTTCAACCATCTCGTTTATCTAGTCCTCCAAACAAAATATTTAGCAAAGTAAACAATTAAAGTAGATAGGCCTACAATCTTTTTTCCAGTGTACATTGTCACGACACTGATATCTGGAGATATTTGAGAAATCTCTCTATTCTCCATCTGTTATATTTCTGGTAGAATAACTAACTGAAAGTTCATGTGAAAGTTCATTTGGAGTTCAAATATGTCATACTGGGCCATTTGCAAACTAAAAGTTCATTTGGAGGTTAAAATTTTTTTGTTAATTTTTTAAAAAAAACAGGCTGTAAAATCAGCTATTACTTTTATCAGGCAATTTGAAGAAAAGGAACCCTTTGTATGTTTAAACTAATTTTATGTATGTAACCCTTGGATATCAACAGGGGACATTTTAGTCCCCAAGAGTCATATTTTGTTCCAGAATTCACAGTGAACTAGATCTACAATGAAGACATTCCTTGGCATTGTCACCTGACGCAGATCAAACAATTGCCTCAAATTTCAGCCACTTGCCATATACACAGGCTGTTGCTTAAACAAACAAAACCAGCAGGGATTTTTTTTTTAAAAAAATATCTCAACAAATAAATTGCTTTGCAATATGCTAGGTTGGTTCCATTTAGGGAGACATTAAAAATCTCTTTGAAGACAAGAAATACAAGAAGTACACTTTAAAGTTTAACCACAACTCTCCAGAAACAACTATTGCTGTACTAGCAGTGTCTGGGATTTTTAAAAAGTTGATTATAACTCTTGCTCTGAGCAAAGCCCCAGGAGAAAACATGATGCCTCCAGAAACATTCAAATATTTTCCCAAGTGGTGGCCCGCAACATTATTCAAATCAACAATGCAGGTATAATTCTAGTAGGTAGGAAACCGAGTGTAGTGGTCCACATTCACAAGAAGGATGGTAAGCAAGACACCAATCATTATCAGCCTATTAGACTTTTGGATATTGACTCAAAGTTATATAGTAAAAACCTGCCAAACTATATACAGTATACCATATATACTCAAATATAAGTCACGTTTTTCAGACCCTTTTTAAGGCTGAAAAAGTCCCCCTCAGCTTATACTCAAATCAAAGTTATTTATTATTTTGCTCTGTTACTCTTATTTTATTACATGTATTATTTTACTCTATTTATTGCTATTATTACATTTATTACTCTATTTATTATTGTGATTACATGTATTTTTACTCTATTTATTATTGTTATTATTACATGTATTATTTTACTCTATTATTATATTACAACTATTATTTTATTCTATTTTTATTATTAATTTATTATTTTACTCTATTATTATTGGAAGGATACATAAGCACATTTACATTGAAGAAGGATAGAATAATTGTTAATCAGGGTTGGACAGTCTTATCTTAAATTATGTGCTAAGTAAATATTCAAAAACATTTAACCTTCTGATGCCTCAATTAATGTAATTTTATTGGTATCTATTTTTATTATGAACTTTACCAGTAGCTGCTGCATTTCCCACACTTGGCGTATACTCGGGATCCAATACAATTTCCCATTTTTTGTGGTAAAATTAGATGCTTTGGCTTATATTCGGGTCGGCTTATACTCGAGTATAAACGATATATATAATTGAAGTGCTCAACCAGATATTTCTTGAAGAAATTTCTCCCACTGAAGGCTACGACATCTGGAAAAGTATATGTTAGACAACTGCAGTAAAAGCATTACTGTTATTCTTTTTTGTTTGTTTGTTTAGTAGTAGAAAATAGAAAGAAATTGTGATACAATTGTTCATAAAAGGACTTGTATTGATTTACAATAAAGTTACGTGGAAACAATTATTTTCTTGGAACAAGGAGGAATCAACCATCATCATCAGACACTAACCTGGGATTTCGGTAATGGAAACGTGTGAGAAATCACATGTGACATCTGGTAAGATATATTCCTTAGGGTTGCCAATTTCATATACCAACTGTTCCGCTACTGTGCCAAAAGATACCAGGCCCCCTGTGTTGGGTGGTTTGGATACAATAAAACTTCCATCAGCAGAACATTCTACTATGGGAAAACCGATGTTATGCCTAAAGAGTTGAAAATATTGAATACTTTACTGTTTTAGACAGTGTATAAGTAAGCACACAATGAATACATTATGGTATTGACGAGGTATAAAAAATATAACGTCAACCATTAAAATATACCTTGGTATTTAAAAAAATTTAGGGACAAATTAGAAAAAAACTTTTCAAAGAAAAAAAAGTAGACCTCTGAATTATTGTAAATAAGGAAGACTATAGGAATACAAAAAACAAATAAACCAGAAATACAGAAAGGAAGATGACAACAGAATGAAAAATGCTACCAAGAAACTGAAAAGGATGACAGTATGGTGGGCAGTACATACACTTGAAGCAACCCCAAAAAAGAGAAAAGAAAACTAGAAAGAAAGGTGAAACAGGATCTGCAGCAGATACAATTGTCATGTTCTTCATTTAAAAAATTAGAATAGGTGTTAAAATGTAAAGGTTTCCCATGACATTAAGTCTAGTTGTATCCAGCTCTGGGAGGTGGTGCTCATCTCCATTTCTAAGCTGAAGAGCCAGCGTTGTCTGTAGACATCTTCAAGGTCATATGTCCAGCATGACTGCATGGAGCACTGTTACCATCCCACAGAAGCAGCACCTATTGATCTACTCAAATTTGCATGTTTTCGAACTGGATAAAAAATCCTTAGCATGGGGATCACGAGATATGCTGTAAGTTGTTACTTTGGGAACCTACTACATTGCTAGGCTTATTCTTTCTGCTTGATGCCTCCTTAAAACCAAAGTATAAAGTAGGACACACATGTATATTTTATAGAATGTCTAAGAGGATTTTGTGTTTTACCTATGCTGTAACCCACCTAGTAAAGGTAAAGGTTTTCCCCTGACATTAAATCCAGTCATGTCCAACTCTGGGGGTTGGTGCTCATCTCCATTTCTAAGCCGAAGAGCCGGCATTGTCCATAGACATTTCCAAGGTCCTGTGACTGCATTGAGTGCCGTTGTCTTCCCACCAGAGCGGCACCTATTGATCTACTCACATTTTGCATGTTTTTGAACTGCTAGGTTGGCAGAGGCTGGGCATGACAGCGGAAGCTCACACTGCTCCCTGGATTCGAACTTGCAACCTTTCAGTCAACAAGCTCAGCAGCCCAGCGGTTTAAACCCACTGCGCCACCAGGGGCTCTGCCTAAGAAATAATAATAATAATAATAATAATAATAATAATAAATCCTCATATTAAAATTACAAGGATTTAAAGATTGAACTGCAAAGACTCTGGCACAAGCCAGTAAAGGTGGTCTCAGTGGTGATCGGCACACTGGGTGCAGTGCGTAAAGGCCTTGGCCTGCACTTAAAAATAATCAGCATTGACAAAATTACCATCTGTCATCTGCAAAAGGCCACCCTACTCGGATCTGCACACATTATTTGCTGATACATCACACAGTCCTAGATCAAATACAAAAGCCAGCATTGTGATCTTGTTTGCTGTGTACTAATCTTGCTGTGTTTCAAATAATAATAATTATAAGTGGCATGCATACAGATGAGCCATACAGAAATTAGTGCTGAAGTATCAGAAGAGAATTATGATGGCAAAGATGAATGTTTTCAGTCACTAAATTGATTTATTGGGCTTGCAAAGAGAAAAGAAATCACTCCAATTTTTATTAGCTCAAGAAAGAGCCAACTGGCAGCAAGACATTCTCACAAGATTAAAATCCTCAAGGTAATGAAATAAGAGTGTCCACTACTATGTTCTCCCAGGCTATCTTCCATCTTTAGCTCACCAAAGTTCCATTTAGAAGACTTAATAGGCATGTTTCCTTGACGATGACATAACCGATCAAACTCTCAGTTACCTTGGTCATGCTGCTGGCATTTTTAAAAAGACACTCCATATTCAAAAGTTCTAGACTCCTGAATAGGTTTGCAAATCTTGCCCCACAGAAATGTCCTCAGATCCAACTTACATAGCATTACAAAAGGGAATCTGTATTCTGTCTGTAATTAGAGAACAACAGTTTAGGGTATGTTTGAGATAGCTGGAGCCCCCAATGGCGCAGTGGGTTAAACCACTGAGCTGCTGAACTTGTACTGTCATTATAGCAACTGGTTGTGAATTGAGATGATTGTAGCCAAATTCTTCATATCATAGAATCATAGAGTTGGAAGAGACCTCGTGGGTCATCCAGTCCAACCCCTTCCCAAGAAGCTAGAAAATCGCATTCATATCAGATAGCAGTAGTTGCTCCACTGCTGTCACTAGGTTTTTCAGTTTTACAAATTCTACTATGAAGTAACTTTGTGATGAACCATGAAATCTTTCTGTTCCATAAAGAACTGTACAGTACTCTGATGTTGTCCAAGAACAAAACATTAGTTTTAAATTAAGGCACAGAGCATCTTGCCTGAGCAAAATGAATTAATCATCGACATTCTAGTAATGAAAACACAATCGAGGCTAGTTGGAGAGTAAGCCATGACAATAGCAACATAAGAAATATCAATAAAAACTCTTAAGCTGCTACAATGGAAAAGTGATTACAACAAGTAATCTAACTTAAACCAACATACCAGTCTGGTATAGAATGCCAGTCAGTGAATATTCCTCCTGTACACTGAGCACCACATTCAATCAGATGGCCTGCAAGACTAGAAAGAAAGAATAATGTTCTAACTTGGAATATAGGCAATCCCTGAGTTGCAAACATCCGACTTACTAACAACTCATAGTTAAAAACAGGGGTGAGACAACAGAAAGTGAGAGGACTCTATCCCTAGGAAGGGAAATTCACTCCTGAAAGAGTTATCATGGGGAAAGGGGGTCTCCATTGAAGTTTTATCACAAATCCTTGTTTTCACAAGCCAAATTTGTCCAAATCTAATTATCACAGGGTCAGAAAGTGAGCTGAAATTTTCTAAACAGTGATACAGACAGTAAAACAAACACAGTGGTGTTAACCTTTCCCTGAGCTAACCTTTACCTATGCTATCCAAAGCGAAAAAATACATGTTTTTGGCGGGAGTTGCACTTAAAAAATGTACCTGTTCCAACTTATTACATACAAATTAACTTAAGAACAAACTTACAGCAGCTATCTTGTTCTCAACTAGGGGAGTGCCTGAATACCTTGTTTCATCGCATAATATTTGCCACTGCAGAAGAGGCACACCCTCATTTTTGGAGGGACAAAATTTATATTTTTGTGTTTCTCGCACGATAGTCACAGAGCCGTTTGGGGTGATTCCACATTCCTCCCTTCCTTCCTTTCTTAAAGGCAAGACAGTTTAAAAACTATGAAATTGAGGTCTCTGGAGGTCCGCTCTTCTCTCCTTCCTCCTTTTCCCAAGCTTTAAAAAACTGAAACGGAGGTCTTTGGCACTCAGATCTTCCCTTCTTTCTCCAAAGAGCTCAATTTCAGATTTTGCAGACTGCCTTGCCTTCAAAGAAGGAAGGAAGCGAGGTAGGTAGGTTGGAAAGCAGGCAGGCAGGCAGGCAGGTTGGCAAGGCAGTTTAAAACAAACAAACAAACAAACAAACAAACAAAAACAGAGCTGGGTTGCTGTGAGTTTTCCAGGAGTATGGTCATGTTCCAGAAGCATTCTCTCCTGACATTTCACCCACATCTATGGCAGGCATCCTCAAAGGTTGTGAGGATATGAATAACCTTGCAGTTTCATGGCTTGACTGCTTCCTGCCTGGGGAATCCTTTGTTGGGAGCTGCTAGCTAACCCTGATTGTTTCTTGTCTGAAATTCCCTGTTTTTGAGTGTTGTTTTTTATTTACTGTCCTTATTTTAGAGTTTTTAAATAGTGGTAGCCAGATTTTGTTCATTTTCATGGTTTCCTCCTTTCTGTTGAAATTGTCCTCATGCTTGTGGAGTTCAATGGCTTCTCTGTGTAGTCTGACATGGCAGTTGTGAGAGTGGTCCAGCGTTCTAAAATAATATGTGGTGCCCCAACAAAGGATTCCCCCAGGCAGGAAGCAGCCAAGCCTTGAAGCTGCAAGAGTATTCAATGCTAATCAAGGTGATTGCAGCATTCACATTTGTCTCATGCAAACAAGTGTTATTTCTCCCACCCTAGGCATTCCACAGATATATAAACCCCACTTGCCTGGTTTCCAACAAACCTCACAACCTCTGAGAATGCCTGCCATAGATGTGGACAAAACATCAGGAGAGAATGCTTCTGGAACATGGCCATACACCCTGGAAAACTCACAGCAACCCAGCCATGAAAGCCTTCAACAACACAGAAACAGAGCTGTTTGCTTGGGGGGCTAGAACACCTCACCTCCTACTCTCCTTTTGTAGGTAAGGCAGTTTTAAAAAAAAGAGAAAATTGAGAATTAAAGGCAGGGTTTTTTCATTATATAATAATAACCTTTTTGTTGGATTGAAGGTTTTATTTTCACAATTGCATTGCAGATATTTCATTTTGATCAAGATCAAATGCAATACAATGGCATTACTGCTTCCCCTCTCTCCTCCTTCTCCCCTCCCCCAAAATCTGCACATACATAATACGTAAATACATACACTTCTGAACAATGTCCACAACAATTGTTCCCCATTGGATAAAAAAGGATAAAAAGTGTGACTATTATGCAATGAAATACGGCATATTGTAACAACTTCTTTTAATAATGACAGACCTTAGTTCAAGAGTCTTCCATTAAATTACAAAAAGTCTAACAAAAAAGTATATTCTCTGCTCCCCCAGTGCTGTTTGTATGCATGTTATCACATGAATCAATAATGAGTCATTTTATTATATAGGTTTGTATGCGTCAAGAGGGAAAATGTTATTTTAATGAATATGCATTCAAAAACTAAAAATCACCGGCAGCTTTTACAATTTTAATCCAACTTGAGAACCCAATTTACATGAGTTTTTCACTTGATAGAATGAAAAAGTAATATATTATGCTACTAACCAATGGGATCACCATTTTAAACAGACCTGGATTATCAGGAGCTAATTTAATTTAATCCAATAACATTAAAGACTTTGAAAATAACCTCAAGGTCGCCGCTTATTAGTGACATCAATGACAATGGTTGATCACTAGAAGTGTTATTTATTTATTCATTTACTTATGTATGTTACTACACATATTTCGTTTTATAATGGACAGAGATGGAGAATCCCATAGCCAGCAAAGACCAGAACTAGGAGATTCTGGGAGCTATAATCCAAAGGTGTAATGCTTCCAAGCTCCAGTCTAGAACCACATCATTTTTAATACAGCCCAAAATCTAAGAGCAAAAAACCCTTATTTGGTGCACAGCTCCACCTTCCTAAATCATGTTTTCTCAAAACATTTTACTTAGAACTGTAGTGCATTCTCTCCTGGCAAACAAGATTATTTTCTGGGCCAATATATTTGTAATAAGCTCTGCTATTTTCAAAACAAAGTTTCCATTTAATTCTGTGTGTGATGGCCATTACATTTTAGGAACATTTGTAAAGAGTTACCTTATATACTCGAGTATACATCGAGTTTTTCAGTCCCTTTTTGGGCTGAAAAAGCTTATACTCAAGTCAAAGTTATTTATTATTTTACTGCGTTGTTATTATTATTATTACGTTTATTATTTTACATTATTTATTATAGTTATTACATTTACATTACTTTATTATTATTATTTTATTACATTTATTATTTCCTCTATTGTTATATTATTATTATTATTATTATTATTATTACAATTTTTTATTTTACACTTTATTATTATTGGAAGGATGCATAAGCACATTTATATTAAAGAAGGTTAGAATAATGGTTTAATCCGAGTTGGACGATCTTATCTTAAATTACAGTTTTATGTAAATATTAAAAAACATTTAAGCTACTTATGCCTCAATTAATGTAATTTTATTGGTATGTATTTTTATTTTAAAATTTACCAGCAGCTGCTGCATTTTCCACCCTCAGCTTATACTCAAGTCAATATGTTTTCCCAGGTTTCTGTGGTAAAAGTAGGTACCTCGGCTTATATTTGGGTCGGCTTATACTAGAGAACAAACGTATATCATTTACCTGCCAGATGCTAGGAGGTTGAACTCATCTCTGTTCCATCCAAACTATAAAAATACAATGTTTGAAGTGTTGGATGAATAAATGAATATATATGTATTCAAATACTACAGTTCAGTTGACAAAATATCTGCATGACAAAATATATGTTAAAATACATAATAGATAGATACAAATTTGTGCTTTTCATAACCAAAGTAATGCCCTGCAGTAGATTTTGAAGGGCTCAACTCAGCCCCATTCCCTTTCTTTCGATACTACATTTGCAGGTAGCACCAAAATGGAAATATAATGACTGTGCACTATTCACAAACTATCACACAGGCTTCCCTTTGTTGCAAACAGCTGGCTTGGTTACTTAGGCTACATCTACCATGCAGAATCAATTCAGTTTAATACCACCTTAACTTCTATGGCTCAATGCTATGGAATCATGAGAAGTGTAGTTTTACAAGGTCTTTAGTTCTCTCTACCAAAAGGTGCTGCTGCCTCCCCCCTGTCTACAAACCCCCAATCTACAAATCCCAAATTAACAAATTTGTTATGCTGGACAAGTTTGCTCTAGATGCATCATTGGTGGGGCACAGTGTGTGCTGTGGCTGTAGGATAAACTACAACTCCCACTGTGGTGACTTAGTCCCCTCAAGCCTATCTAGCAGGTTGAGTTAGTCATGGGGGTTCTGTGTGCCAAGTTTGATCCAGGCCCATCATCGGTGGAAGTCACAGTTTCTCTGGTTGTGGGTGAACTAAATTTCCCAGAAAGGATGGTCAGTCCACCCCCCCCCCCCCTCCACTAATCAAATTTCAGCATATCAGGTATGTATGCAAAGTCTGGTCCAGATCCATCGGCTTCTGGGTTCACAGTGCTTTCTGGATGTAGGAGAACTACAACTCCCCCAAATCAAAGTGAATTTTCCCCAAAGACCTGCAGTAATTTTTTGTCGGTCATGGGGGCTCTATGTGCCTAGTTTGGTCCAATTCTATCTTTGGTGGAATTCAGAGTGCTCACTGATTGCAGGTGAACTATAAATCCCATTACCTACAACTCCAAAATGTCAAGGCCAATTCCCCTCCAAACCCTCTGGTGGAGTTCAGAGTGCTCTTACATTGCTGGTGGACTGTATTTCCCAGTCTCTACAACTCCTACAAATCATGGTGAATTTTCCCCAAACCTCTCTAGCACGTTCAGTTGCTGATCAATTCCCCTGTTTGCTGTGTGCCATAGAAAAGAATAGGAAGGGGTTAAGGGAGAGGCAATCGGCGGGTTTAAGCAAATTCCACACCAATGGAGAGAAAGAAAGGAACACTGGGATGTCTGTGGTGGTGGAAAAATAGAAAATCTAGAATGCCCCCGCATGAAAGCCTTCACTTGGGTGGTGGGCAGTATGGTGTTTGTGGAGGAGATTGGCAGGACTGTTGGACATGTTTACAGTGCCTACTATAGCTCTTCAATGTCATCAGATGGAGGGCCATTGGTGTTCCCTGCATAGTGGGAGCTATAGCTATTTGTGGAGGTGAGAGTCTGTCTGTGAAAGTGGACATTTATTTATTTTATTTATTTATCTAAATTTTTTATATCCCGATCTTCTCTGTAGAGGGACTCAGACCAGCCACATACACATCTTCACTTTTATTATGTGTATAGATAGATAGAAGATAGATGAGGTTTTCTGACTGCTTCATTAATAACACTTCAATTAATGGCTTACAAGGCAAAAGACATGATTATCCAGCACCTTCCATTTTGCAGATTCAACAGTCTGCATGGGCTCAGTGGTACATATGCTTGCATTGCATTTTTAAATAAACTGGACATTAAAGTTTTTTAAACATTTCAGAAATAGAAAGGGAAATTAAGCAACTGTTTTGGTGCCACCTTGTGGCAAGCAAATGAATTTGTATACTATAAATGAAGCATTCATGTTGATTCAATTGAAAATTTAAATGATTTATAAGAATGATTACATGATGGTGTTTTGCGGGAAAAGCCATTAATACATTGACAATGAACACTGACCAAAATTGTTTGAATTAATGCCACCTTTCCTTCAAAATGTATCTAGTTTGTATGGAAAAAATAGGAATATGAGGGATGTGACTGTTTCACACTGGACACAGAAATAATACAATTTGACACAGTTTGAACTGCCATTGCTCAATGCTACGGAATTGTGAGAGTTCTAGTTTGGTGAGGCACTGGCACTTTGGCAGAGAAGGCAGAAGACCTTGTAAAACTTCATCTCCTATGATTCCATAGCATTGAACTGCATTAATTCTATAGGATAGATGCATCCACCATTCTTTAGAACTATAAGAAAATCTTTCAGAACACCCAAACTTTTTTATTTGTCCAGAAATAAATCATTTACAAATGTAAGAATATGAAAACTTTTTTTTGCATTTTAAATAATGGAAATCTATTAAAAATTCAGGTAAGTCAAATAAATAATTTTAGATTTGGAAAAGGTGATTCAGACTTACAGAATGCATGAGTGGTCCCAATACAAGGCTACTGTCAACGCATCTTCCAGTCACTACAACATCTGCCCCCAGGTCAAGAGCTCGACTTATTGGTTTTGCACTGAAGAAACAAAGCTGTAGTCATCAAAATCCTGAATCCTTTATTCACCATTCAAAATAATCCAACACCTGATTTTAAAATATTCAAAATTCAGTAGGGCAGATGCAGTTCAGCATAGTGACCCCTACTTTCTGAAGTTTTTTTTAATAAAGGAAAATTTCTCCCTAAGGTACAGATATCCCTCCGTTTTTCCAAGCCAACAGTCTATGCCTCTTCCTTTCACTCTGACATTTTACAAGCCAATCGTCCCTGCAAATCTTTGCAGATAATTGCATCTCTTTTGCAGTTCTGCTGGTGGTTATCTTTCACTGGCGCATTCAGAACCTTTGCATTAAATTAAAATGCAATATCATGTAGATTGAGTACAAAATCTGGATAGTATCTAGTGCAAATTACATGCCTATTCCATCAATGTTTATTATAAATCTTACCCAAGATATATATTCATGCTTTGGATATTTTCTGGAAATGGCATCCCATTCTCCCCTTTGTAGACAGCTTTCTTAATGTTATTTAACTGCAAACAATTGATATAAAACTATTTAGTTGCAACTTTTAACTTTCAAGATATACATTTTGTAATAAATTTAGGTAATGTTGTTCAATTACCAAACAAAACACACATGGATGATTTTCAGAAGAATGTAAAATATATAATCCTTGGCCACAAAAATGGAAGAATCTAGGACAAGCAATAAACTTGATAGTTGCTTTCTTCTATTTCATGCCTAAAATGGACCCATAGTGGCACAATGGGTTAAACCCTTTTGCTGGCTGAACTGCTGACCTGAAAGTCAACGGTTCGAATCCGTGAGATGGGGTGAGCTCCTGTCCGTCAACTCCAACTTCCCATGCAGGGACATGAGAGAAGCCTCCCACAGGATGGTAACACATCTGGGTGTCCCCTGGGCAACGTCTGTGCAGATAGTCAATCTCTCACACCAGAAGCAACTTGCAGTTACTCAAGTCGCTCCTCACACGATAATGAAAATAATAATGCCTAAAATCAGGAATGTGCAATGTCCAAAGTCTGGAGGGATGTACTATTTGTTCAGGACCACAGAGAGCTATTCCTGTCCCACATCTGCCATTTCAACACATCTCTGGGGTTCTGACTTAAAATTGACCAAATGTCTCTTTTATAAGCACAACTGGCTATTATGGATTGTGGAAAGGCGGGATCCCTTTTAGTCCCAAGAGGTTTTTTCTAAAATTGAAAGTGAATTCTAGTTTCTTCCCCCATTTTTTTTTAAAAAAAATATTTATCTGTGTGTAAAAGAGTCAGTATGACCTATCATGACCCCATATAAGCTTCTAGGAGAAGGATTGGCTAATTTTAAGGCAAAAAAATCCTTGATGATAGGGAGTTAAAGTGGTGCAAAAACAGAACGTGGACCACATATAGGTTACAATTTTTCCACCTTGGCTTTAAGATTTGTTAGTTTCCCCAAAGAGTGTGAAGTATTGCAGCTAACCACAATGTCTGAAGCAATGAATGACTGAACAACCTCTTCAAACCATGATTACAAATCTGGTAAAGACACAAGAAGGCTTGAATGCTATCCAAAACAGAAAATGAAATATAGAGTAAATGTAACCTGTACCTTAAATGCATGAGCAGTTGGAAACAAGATCCATCATCTCTTTGACTATAATACAAATTAGTGGTTCTTCTGCAAACAGCAAGTACTTTATCATATACTGAAATACTTGTACTCTCTTGAAACAGCATTGATTGAAATGTGGCAGCATAACACAGTTCAAAGCAGATAATGTGGGATTTTTATACAGCTGTGTGGTAGAGTCCCTATCCGCACCAGTACAATAAGTCAATCATCTTTGGTACTGTACGCATATTTGTATAATGCTAATAAGTATTTAATAGAAACACCAAGACTCTGGTCATGTTTTGAATTTTTTGTTGTAAAAAAAATAATAAAGCTTCCCAAATGCTGATCAAAGCTAATTTAAAAAACCGAAATACCTCCCCCATCAAATCATCACCAGTAACCACAGCTATCTTCAAGTCCACACCAGCCTTTTCTGCCACCTGTCGGAGAGCAGCAGCACATGCAAGTGGATTCATCCCACCAGCATTGCTGATAATACGAACACCTAAAGCAAAGAGGGAAAACAATCAGAATTAAGAAGATTACAAACATAGACTCAGATTAATTTCTCTCTTTGGCGAGATTTTGATGACAGTTTGAATCTTCAATAACTGTTGTTCAGGAAACTATGTGGCCAAATATTCCACTGTAACTATTCCCTTCCTCCTGTTGCACTTCAGTTTTGCACAAAGATCTTGGCTCTTATTAAGATTTAACTTCCCATTGCACCTGGATGAGCTCAAAATCCCTAGGCAAGCCAAGAAAGCAACCTAGGATATATTTGAAACCAGTCAAGCATCCTCCTTCATGTCTAATCCAACTCCTACTGAAAATCCATTTGTATTACATTTCAATTGTTGTTTCCGTTAGATTTTTGACCATTCTGAAGATCAACTGAGGGCCCTTCCATACAGCCATATAACCCAGAACATCAAAGCAGAAGATCCCACAATATTTGCTTTGAACTGGGTTATCTGAGTCCACACTGTCTCATACGCACACATGCACACACACACACACACACACACATAGGGCTGTGGTAGCTCAGTGGGTTAAACCACTGCCGAAAAAACTTGCTGACTGAAAGGTTGGCAGATTGAAGCCGCAGGTTACGGTGAGCTCCCGCTTCAGCCCTAGCTTCCCCCTTCCTAGCAGTTTGAAAACATTTGAGTAGATCAATAGATACCGCCTTGGCAGGAAGGTGAAAGGTGCCCTGCAGCCATGCCAGTAAAACACAACCAGGAGGCACAACAGGCTCCTTGGCATGGAAAATGCAACAAGAGTATCTTCCCATGGCCAGAGTTAAGCATCGCCTCCAGACACCAAAGATGGAAAGATGTTTGTATATTGTATGTCATTGTTCACTGTATAAAAGGCATTGAATGTTTGCCTGTATATGTGTATATTTTAATCTGCTCTGAGTCCCTTCGGGGAGATAGAGCGGAATATAAATGAAGTGTATTATTATTATTATTATTATTATTATTATTATTATTATTCCAGTCCAAAGCAGATAATGTGGAATTTTATTCGATTCTGTGGAAGGAGCTTGAGATGTCATTCGACCACATGTTCCTTGTCATGGTAGCCAGGGACCACTTGCATTCACATCTTTTCCATATAAGAACATATAAGCTTGACTAAGATGAGAAACTTTTGTTTGTATGGAGGTAGCCTTTATATGGAGGAAAGCCTTTATTTCCCAGAGGAAACTATGACTGGGAATTTAGGCAATTTACCTTCCAGGAGAGGAAAGTGACAATTTAGGGGAATTCCTCTTGGGAAGAAAGAGCGGTGCGTAATGCCTAGTCAGAGTTTGAGCCAAACAATTGATATAAATTGTTTTACCGGCAATAATAATAATAATAATAACAACACTTTATTTGTACTCCGCTACCATCTCCCCAAGGGACTCGGTGCGGCTTACATGAGGTCGAGCCCAAACACAATGATACAAGCAATAACAACAACAATACAAGCAATTAAAAAACATAGACAATAAAATATAGTGAAGTAATAGTGAAGTAAATATAATAAATATATTTATAAGCTGCCAAGACAACTTAAAACTACAACAGCTTCATACCTTTCCTGTGTATATCCTTTATATAAGGAGCCATTGCAGTTAATACAAAATCAGGTGTGTACCCCAAGTCCTGAAATAAATAAAAAATAAACTGTAACAATATGCTAAATATATTTTCCATTCTGAGAACCCTTTTTGTTTTTTACAATTTGACCATTCCAAAATGTTTCAATGGAAGGGCAGAAATTGGTTTTGAAATGTGCAAATTGAAGAGTTGCCAACACAAATCGAGAAGCTTACCAAAAGATCCAAGTAATAACTGAAATTCTAATGTATTTCACTGTCTCAGTACTTCAAAGAATTAAGTCATAAATTAGTTAGATTAAAGGTATATTCCACATATTCTCCAATAGAGACAAGTACACATTTCAAAATATTGCATTTTATTAATTGGACTTTCCCTTTAGAAAATAAATTTACTTACTGGAGCTCTTGCTTTGGCAGTAGCTAGTAAAGACATTGTGATTTCAGAAAGGTAATCAAAGACCAGGAAATTCAGCTTCCCTCCATATAGCAATTGAGGAACTAATGCAAAGAAATAAACTAGTATCAGAAAAAGAAAAATCACATTGCTATTTAAAAAAACGTGAAGCAATTCTGGAATAGGGGTTTTGCAAAAAACAATTGATCACTGATAAAGAGGGACATTATACATATTAAAAGGCACTATGATAGTAATTCAGGGAGTACTTAATAAAACAGATTGTTTCTGCCCCATTATTTTGTATACTGACTGAAGAAGCATTAAGGAACTATTTTCAATTTACTGTAACAGCTATAGGTTACAGGTTCACAGCAGAACTAGCTAATATCTATATCAGTGGTTCCCGACCTGTGGTCTATGGACCACGAGTGGTCCCCAAGAACTAAAATATGGTCTGCAGCCTCACCATTACTACACTGTTGCAACGAGAGCTACTAGTCTTGTGAAACCCTCTTATAGTGGTAACGAGGATGCTGGGAGGGAAGAGACTGACTACTTACGAAAAGCTCCACAACAAGCCTCCTGATTGCTGCTGCTTCTTCTTCTCCTCCCGCCCCCTGAGCGAAGCCAAACCATTTGGTGCCTGGAAGCGGGGGCACCTTGGTGTCTTTGTTTTTAGGCCTGTTCCTGTGGTTATTTGGGGTGCTGATTCAGAAAATTGTATTGGATAGACCACATCAGCTCTAGATTATTAAATATGGTTTTCTGTGGAAAAGCAGATGGCGACTACTGGCTGGCGCATGTTCTGTATCAGAAACTAGAGCTGATGAGGTCCATCCAAAGCAATTTTCTGAATCAGCACCCCAAATAATCAAACTGAATCTAAAGTTGACAAAAAACTGATTTGTAACCCTTTTGGTACTAGTGTTGGAGAGTGGTCCCTGGTCAAAGTGGTCCCTGGTCAAAAAAAGATTGGGAAACACTGATCTATATGGACTCATTTGAACAAACCTTTAATAAAGTAATAATTCTTTTATAGAATACAGTATATCATGGCGTACAGAAAATATTTAGATTACATTTTTCTAATATGGAAAGGTGGTGAGGAGACTACCATCAAGTTTACATGATGTATGATTCCAGGACCATTCACTTTTGGGATACTGAAATAAGGAACAAAGAAGGCATTTTACCTGCTATCATTTATGGGAAACATATTAATTCTTTTCTAAGATATGACAGCTATTATCTTTCATATATCGAAAAGAAGCTTCCACGTTCACAATGAGTGAAGATAAGATGAAACTGCTGCAGTTTAAGGTCTTTCTTTAAATAAGCTAACATTCTTAAGCAGCATCTTAGGCCCCTTCCACACAGCCCTATATTCCAGAATATCAAGGAGGAAAATCCCACATTATCTGAGTGTGGACTCGGATAACCCAGTTCAAAGCAGATATTTTCTGCCTAGATATTCTGGGATATTGGGCTGTATGGAAGGGCCCTGAAGGACATCCCCACTGAATGTGAAGCTTGCAATGTATAAGGCCGTGTGAACAAATTAAAGGGATTTTTAAGAAATAAAACAAGGGACCTCAAAGTATACAAAATGATACTTGTAACTGATGAAGTAGGCATAAGTCTATGAAAGCATATACTACAAATGTCTTTATTTCAGTCTCAAAGGTGCCATAAGACCCCTTTGCATATTTTCCAGATTAGCATGGCTATGTATTTGAATTTTACCACCAGAGAGCGTACCAAATTCAGCTGACAGTGGAAATCCATGAGTCTCTTTTACTTGCCCAGGTTCAGACAGACATCATCCTAATGATGTAATCATTTGTGGTTATGGTTATTAGTAACCTTAGGAGTCTATTTAGTTTGATCAGAAAAGTCTGTGTTTTACTTTTAGTTATTTGGTGTTTTAAAGTGTCAGATGGTGGCTTGTGACAGCAATCTTAGCTAAGATTTTGGAATAGTGTTTGATATGATGTTTTAGTTACTTAGTGTTTTAGGGTATTAGACTGTGATGATTGTTTTAGTTAAGACAGAGTTTAATACAATGTTTAATCTTAATTTAGTTTCATTTTTAGTGGAATTTATTTATATATGCATGTGTACGTGTCATTATTTCCCTTTTCCATATTTTTTCCTCGTCCCTTGGTTTGTCTCTCATGTTCTTTGTGATGTGGATCATTTGTATTACAATTAATAAAATGTATACATCCAGAAAGTAAAGCATCTCAAAAATTAGACATATTCCTCCTTCATGTTTAATGTTCACAATCCAAATTATACACTTTTCTCTCAGTTTAGTAACCCACTAAAGAATATGAAGTAGTGCAATGACAATTTGGAACAGTCATGGATTATGATTTCGGATAATGTGATGTTAATAAGTGTTTTTAAGGTCTGGTATGTTTTTAATGATTGTTTTATGTTTATTTTATTTTGTTGTTTACGCGGCATCAAATTGCTGCCTATATATTTAACTGCCTTCAGTCCCTTACAAGGTTGAGAGAGGCAGGGTATCAATATGGTTACTTACTTACTTACTTACTCGATGGACTGTATCAATATAGTAAATAAATAAATGATTAAATAGCCTATGCAATTGTGAGCAAATTGTTGCTAAGTGATTTTAACCACTGAATTTCATATTAAGTTTAATCTAATATAGTAATTATGGGCTATGTCTTACATATAATACTTGCAATCTAATCCTATGCAAACTAAAAGGGAAATCCTGGTTTTTCAGATTTGGTTACAATGAAATTTGAGCTGCTGTCAAACACCAACTTTGAATTCTGGCGCCATCTGCCGTTCTATTCTTCCCTAATTCACAAACATCTTATTCAGGCGGGGGAAAGTAGGGATGAGCCAAACTAGCTTGTTTTCTGGGTTGTTGTAGGTTTTTCCGGGTTATATGGCCATGTTCTAGAGGCATTTTCTCCTGACGTTTCGCCTGCATCTATGGCAAGCATCCTCAGAGGTAGTGAGGATGCTTGCCATAGATGCAGGTGAAACGTCAGGAGAAAATGCCTTTAGAACATGGCCATATAACCCGGAAAAACCTACAACAATCCAGTCATTCTGGCCATGAAAGCCTTCAACAATACATTGCTTATTTTCCTTGGAAGCAGCGTTTTGCTTTCTTTTTCTGGGGTTTTTTTTTTTTTTTTGCATAACTTCCCTTTACAGTGTTATGCCTCTACCTAAAAATCATCAGTATTTACCAATTAAACCGTAAACAAGTTTGCTTTTCCTTACACATGAGAAGGGTAGACGGACCTGTTGTAGTAAAAAAACTCACATTGAGGAACAATAGAGTTATTAACAGCATTTATGCAGCTTAATAGATTGTTTAATAGTTTTGTTGGATTTAACTATGTATTTTTAACATTTCTATGTCTAATTCTATTTTGATCCTTATGTGTATTAGGTTTTAATTTACACATTAAGCAGGGTATGATTCTTTATGTAGAGTCAACTATCCAAGCATGGAAAATATCCATCTCCAAAATATATATCCAAAAATGAAACTTTGATTTTGCCATTTTATATAAAGGGCTTCATTTGACAACATCATTGTCTACAATCCATTGCTTCCATGGATTTTGGTATGAAGAGAGCCTGGATACCCCCATCAGACACCACTGGATATGAATTATCCTATTTATCCTAGATATAGTGATGGATAAAGATATGGAATCTTATAATGAGAAGGAACTTTGACTCTTATTAACTTTCTAGCCAAAGTCCAACATATTTATATCACTTCGATTAAATGCTGGTTGCACTTTGAGATAGATGATAAACAACTGTATTTCACCGATTCCAATTCACACATTTTCCCTCATATAAAAACAGGCTGCATCTTAGAATTGTGAGTGCTTTTTCTTATATATAATATATAAAGCTTTTTTTCTTAAATTAATGAAAGTCTTAGAATCGATGAAATATGAAGTTGCCATTCAGCAAAATGTCTTCGAAAAAGCAACACCTGAGTTAAAGAAATTGCAAAAAGGGGCCACTGAATAAAATATGTGGAAGAGCCAAGTGATGTAACGGTTTGACAATGGAACTATGGCTGGATTGACACTGCTGTATAATGCAATTTCAGAATGCAGATTAACTGCATCGAACTGTATTATTTGGTAGTGTAGATTCATATAATCTGCATTCTGAAACAGCATTATATGGCAGTTCAGATGCTGCCAAAGACTCTGGAGACCAAGATCTGAGGGCTCTTCCACACAGGCCCTATATCCCAGGATCTGATCCCAAACCTCACAACCTCTGAGGATGCTTGCAACAGATGCAGGAGAAACATCAGCAGATGCTTCTAGAACATGGCCATACAACCCGAAAATCCTACAACAACCCAGTGATCCTACAACAACCCAGTGATCCCAGGTTTTCTGCTTTAAACTGGATTATGAGAGTCCACACTGCCAGATAATATGGGATAAACAGAAAACCTTGGATTGTATCCTGGGATATAGGGCCTATCCAGGAGGGCCCTGAGTCCCCACACAGCTGAATAAAATCCCACATTTTCTGCTTTGAACTGGAATATATGGCAGTGTGGACTCAGAGAACCGAGTTCAAAGCAGATATTGTGGGATTTTCTTCCTTGATATTCTGCGCTATATGGCTGTGTTGACGGTCCCTCAGGCCCCATCTACAATGACATACAATCAAGTTTCTGAATCCAGAAACTGGATCTGCTTTGAATTGGATGATAAAGGAGCGTAGACTCATATAATCCAGTTCAAAGCAGATTAACACTAGGGCCCCTTCCATATCACCCAGAATATCAAGGCAGAGAATCCTACAATATCTGCTTTGAAATGGGTTATCTGAGTCCACACTGCCAGATATTCCTGTTCAAAGCAGAAAATGTGGGATTTTATTCAACTTTTAAAAAAAGTTCCTGGTTTGAAAGTGTTATTTCCTAACACTTTTTGTGTGGTCCTTACTTTGAAAAGAGTTGTTACCCTCCAGGTACTTTGTTTTTGTGGCTGCCACACAGGCCCCTTCCACACAGTTGAATAAAATCCCACATTATCTGCTTTGAACTGGAATATATGGCAGCGTGGACCCAAATAACCCAGTTCAAAACAGATATTGCGGGATTTTCTGCCTTGATATTCTGGGTTATATGGCTGTGTGGAAGGGGCCGGAGTCCACAGGGCCATATATCCCAGTTCAAAGCAGATACTGTGGGATTATATTAAACTGTGTGGAAGGGGCCTGAGTTATATAGTGTTATGTGGGAGTGGAGAATGTAGATCCAGCCTCAGCGGTGGGCAAGTCACTTCTTCTCAGAGGAAGGCCAATGTCACAAACTCCATGTGGAAGAAAGGTGTGCATCTATACTAGATATGAGCAAACTAGGTCCCTCCAGGTGTTTTGAACTTCAACTCCCATAATTCCTAGCAGCCTCAGGCCCTTTCCTTTTCCTGAGGCTGCTAGGAATTGTGGGAGTTGAAGTCCAAAACACCTGGAGGGACCAAGTTTGCCCATACTTGAGCTCCACTGTCAAATTAGCCCCTTCTAACCGCCATGGCTCTATGCTATGGAGGTCTGAAGGTTGCCTGTTTTGTGAGGCAACACCACCAGCAGCAGCACTCTTTGGCAGAGAAGGCCTTGTCGAACTACATTTCCCAGGATTCCACAGGATTCGTTTCTCCTCCAGGGGCGTTTCTCCTCAGGGAGAGAGAGAGAGAGAGAGAAGGAGAAGGAGGCCGCCGCCTGGCTCCTACCTGAGGCGGCCGTGTCTCCCCAGAAGCCTGAGGCGCAGCCGATCCGCACAGGGCCGGGCCCGGGGTCGCAGGCCTCGCTGCTCCGGCCACGGCGAAGGCCGCCGCTTCCCGCCGCCAAGAGCCGCCGAGGAGCAGCATTTCTTTGGAGGCCCAGCAGCAACGCGGCGCCCCTCATGGCTCCGAACTTAGGCGCGGCCTGGGCGGGCTCCTCTCCGGGGAAGAGGCGGAGGAGCAGCAGCAGCAGGCCGCCCTCGGGCCCTGGCTTGGGAGGGGAAGGAGGCCTCGCCTTGGCAAGGGAGGCCTCTCCTGCCTCAGCACTCCCTCAAACTTGGTTGCGCCTACAGTGTAGCATTACACCGCCATGGCTCACAACTATGGGGCCCTGGGAGTTATAGGCCCCTTCCACACAGAATATCAAGGCAGAAAATCCCACAATATCTGCTTTAAACTGGGTTATCTGAGGCCCCTTCCACACAGCTGCCTAAAATCCCACATTTTCTGCTTTGAACTGAGATATATGGCAGTGTGGACTCTGATTTTTGTTTTTGTTTTTGGTCATGTCAGGAGCAACTTGAGAAACTGCAAGTCGCTTCTTGTGTGAGAGAATTGGCCACCTGCAAGGATGTTGCCCAGATGTTTTGATGTTTTTACCATCCTTGTGGGAGGCTTCTCTCATGTACCCACATAGAATCCTAGAGTTGGAAGAGACCTCATGGGCCATCCAGTCCAACCCCCTGCCAAGAAGCAGGAATATTGCATTCAGAGCATCCCTGACAGATGGCCATCTGCTTAAAACCTCCAAAGAAGGAGCCTCCACCACACTCCGGGGCAGAGAATTCCACTGCTGAACAGCTCTCAGTCAGGAGCTGGAGCTGATAGAGGGAGCTCCTCCTTGCTCTCCCCAGATTCAAACCTGCAATCTGTTGGTCTTCAGTCCTGCTGGCACGGGTTTAACCCACTGTGGCCTCCTTGTGGACTCTGATAATCCAGTTCCAAGCAGATATGGGATTGTCTGCTTTGATATTCTGGGATATATGGCTGGGTGGAAGGGCCCTGAGTCCACACTGCCATATATTCCAGTTCAAAGCAGACATTGTGGGATTTTATTCAGCTTTGTGGAAGGAGTCTTCGATTCATAACATCTTTAAGCCTTCCCAGACAGAGGTCCCCTCCACACAACTGTATAAAATCCCTCATCTGCTTTGAAGTGGAATATATGGAAGTGTGGACTCAGTTAATCAAGTTCAAAGCATATATTTTCTGCCTTGATATTCTGTGCTATATGGTTGTGTGGAGGGGCCCTCAGATAACTCAGTTCAAAGCAGATATTGTAGATTGTCAACCATGATATTACAGGTTATATGGCTGTGTGGAAGGGGACCTGAGTCCACACTGTCATATAACTGAGGGCCCTTCCACACAGGGCCATTCCACACAGTCATGTAATCCAGAATATCAAGACAGAAAATCSCACATCTGAATGTGGACTCAGGTAACCAAATTCAAAGCAGATATTGTGGGATTTTCTGCCTTGATATTCTGCAATACAGGGCTTTGTGGAAGGGCCCCGAGGCCCCTTCCACGCAGCCATATAATATGGATATGGAGGACCACTTGTAAAGTTGCGATGTGGAACATCATCACACTTCACTGGATTTATATTCTTCCCTTACCTGAAATGACATCCCTACAAGGGTTCATATTGTAATGAACAATTTTAAAAATGCAGTGGAAATGCATTTCATCGTTGAATTAGCTGCAGTGTCATTGTTAAAAGGCACAACAGCCTCTTTGAAAAAGAAAAGACAATATTCGGGTTTCTCCTGTTTGCTTTCTACTTACGTATCATGCTTTAGCTCTACAGGGGGCAACTACCTTTCCAACACTTACTCATTCAACAGAAGGTGGCAACCATCTCACTCACTGTAAAAAGCCATGCATTTTACATTTTAATGTAATATGTTTTGATACTAGGATGAAGTGTGCTTCAGTCCCCAGTCTACGTTTATATGGCTCCAGCCCAGCTTACTTGTCCAAACGTATCTCCCTCTACGTTCCACCTCGTAGTTTACGATCCACCGGGGAGACCCTGCTCTCAGTCCCACCATCCTTGCAAACGCGTCTGGTGGGGGTGAGGGACGGGGCCTTCTCAGTGGTGACCCCCGCTTGTGGAACGCATTCCCCAACGAGATTAGATGGGCATCCTCCCTCCTTTCCTTTAGGAAAAAACTGAAATTATGGTTTTGGAACCAGGCCTTTGGCTAGCAGGCATAAGCGGCACTTTGGACATTGAACTGGACCATATGATTGCTAAAATAATGGAAACGGCTATATGATTGTATAATTAATGTTTTTGTTTTTAATCTATTGTGTATTTATGGTTTTATATTGTTGTTATATTGTGACATTTGCGTTATCAAATTGTTTCCAGTGTTAGCTGCTCTGAGTCCCCCCTCGGGGGTTGAGAAGGGCGGGGTAGAAATGTTGTAAATAAATAAATATTAGTGTTTATTTTTTCCAATAAATATTATAATTAGATGCACCGCACATCACAGAGAGGGAAAGGGGAGGGGGAGAAGGGAAGCAGCTCACCACCGTGGAACCTCTCACAATCACTCTTTGGAGCACATTTTGGGAACCCCTGCTCTAAAATATAAAGGGGGAGCAGGAAGGAAGAGTTGTGCAATCGCAGGACTCCCTGTCCTTACTCATCATAGCGGCTCTCATCATTATGTGTTCCATTTGCTGGCAAGAAGGGATGGAGCCAGGCCCAGCTGGTGCCCAAGATGACAGCCAAAAGAGTTCAGCAGTGGACTTGAGGCAGTGGAGGGGATGCAGCTGCATGGCTGAGGCTGCACAAAGAAGCTCCTCCTTCTCCGGCCCCTTAGGAGACCCGAGCCAAGTAAGGGGACTGGGTTTCCCAGGGTACAGATATTGCCTGTACAGATACTGCAATATTGTAAAAGGTCTGAAAAATTGAATTCTGGAGAAGGAATGCTCAACCTATCTCAGCCAAAAAGGAGACTGAATGTGTGTCTTTTTCTTACCATTGCCCTCTCATAAAGCAAAAGGGATAGAATGACTCTCCTCTTTGCCTCTTCCATGGAAACCCAATGGGGGGCATTGGATGGGGATTCTCTCTCAGCCTCAGAGGGAGGTCAGGATGGTATTCATGAATACAGTTCTCAGATTTTCCAGTGTGTTGGGCCACACTCCCCATCATCCCCAAGACATCAAGGGAGCCTGGGAGACCTCCATGTCATGATTGGAGGGGAGGGGCATCCAGAGGATGTAGGTGTCCCCTCTGTAGGGAGGAGATGATGGGTCTGGTCTGGTGAACCTCAATGTCTCTCCACCGCTGAAGTAGTTATGGGAGGGAGGACTGCAGTTTTGAAGAAGACCCTCTCCCTGTGCTGATTTGGGGGGGGGGGGGTTGGGTTGAAACCTGCCGGGCCACTATGGCTACAGTGGTGGCTGGCATTGTAGTAGCCTCAATATTGGCTGGGAGGAGGGAAGACGGCTGCTGCTGAGATTGAGGTGGAGGTCTGAGGTATTGGGGGAAGTGGCTTCTTAACCCCCCTACCCATGATGGCCATGGGCAGTGGTTGCTCTGAGAGGCCTCCAGATGTTCTGTCTGGGAGGGTCACCATTACGGGAGGGTTTGGAGCTCCTTCCCCATGGGATGAAAGGCTTGGATGGAGTCCAGTATGTGCTGGACCAGAGGCTGGCTTGTCAGGGTTGGCAGAGGTGGATTTTTCCTCCATCTTCTGCCCTTTCCCATCTCTTGTGTAGATACCTCTCAGATATTTCTCCTCCACTGGACACTTTCTATTCTGAACTAGACTTCCATCAAACTTCTCCCACCTCCCTTTGCCTTGCTTCTTTTGCTACAAGGAGAGGTTTCTGGAAGAGGAATTTGAGGCTGAAAGAGAGGGCCAGTTTAGCTCAGTTACCCTTCCCATCTCTAGGAGCAAAGGTCCATCTGAGGGTAGAAGCAGCTTTGAAACCACAGGTGGATAACATGCCTTTCTTTGGAGGTTTTAATACATAGCTCCCATTCTTCCTTTGGACCTTGCTTACCTTGAATGGAAAATTCTCTAGGAAGTATAATTTTGTGTCTCAGTACGCAGCAGATGGTAACTGTCATTTTCAGTCATTCAGTTCCACAGACTCACCTTTTACATCACATTCTTTTTAATGAATTACACACTGATTATTACACATCTGTCCATTGGGATCTGGAGGACAGAATTGCATCTCCCTTACACCAGTTACCAGGGCTGCAAAAAGAGATTGTGAAAAAGGTCTGATGGTTGCATCCCTCTTGTTGTGGCTTGGAAATGTCATCTTCCTGTGTGCTAGTTGCCAGCTAAAACACCTGTAATGTTAGGTTGCAAAGCCAATCCCCCCAGACTAGTCCATATCTCCCACCTTCATGACAAGAGGAGGAGGATGTGGTGGAGGTAGTAGAGGTCCCCAAGGAGGATTAAATTCCTCACCTTCTGACAGGGAAGCATGCTGTTGATTGGGATAAGTGGGATGAGAAGCCCATGTAAAGGGGTCACTTTCTGGACAGGGAATGCGGGGCAAGGGAGGCTAGGGGCACCAAAAAAATATCAATTCCCTCATGGAATCAGCATGACTGAATGGGCTAAGGTGTAACTCGAGTGTAATACCAAAACCTGAAATGCCTTTTTTGGGCAAAGTGATTCTGGTGGGTAGGGCACATGGAAGGAGGTAGGAGGGTTGTGAAAGATAGCGGAAGGGGAAAGGTGCTGGAAGAGGAAGGGCATAGTGGGAGGGTCGTGAAGGGACATTGTGGGAGGGGGAGATTTCTTTGAGGTTTGGTTGGATGGGTGAGCTGGTTCTTTGGAGTCCTCCATTGGCTGCCAATTTGGCATCTGATCTGTAACACAAAAAGAAATAAGTGTTAAGAGTGCTAATCCCTCCTGATCATCCACATGGAAACACCAGGCCTAAACCACCAGGAGAGCCTGTCCCAGTTCATCCCACTGGATCCTAAAGAACCTGTGAGATATTTGGGCTACTCCTAAGAGAAAATGATGGGGGATCTGCTCCGTAAAACCAACAGTCACGGAAACCCACAGAACTGGGGCCTTCTCAACTGTCTTTGGGTGCCACCAGAGCAACCCCAGGATTCCAGGAGGACAGAAGATGATGTGAGTTGGACAGACTGGACTATAGGTCTAATGTTCATTAGGCAGCTCAGGTCAAACCAAAACAAGGCTGAAATTGGACTTCTGTGTGTTCTGAAAATGTCTTCTGCAAGCTGAAGACATTTCCAAATACATTTCTGT